GTGCTGTCATTCTTCCCATTCCATTGTTCCAACAACCTATTAGCCTCCTACGTATCAGTCTGATAAGGCCTATTTTGTTATCTGTCCAAAATTCTAATTCAACCTTGGACAGAAAAAATGGAATGAATCATATACCCTTCGCTCACCAAAATGTGCTTATACTAGCTTGAGATGGATGAAATACAAAACTGTAATAATTTATAACTTCAATTTCAAAAAGTAAATGATGCCAATTTGGTTTTAATTACCTGCCCAATTTAAGTCTGATTTGACTCTAAAATGTAACTTGGTCTCGCCCTAATTTGCTTCAATGGATATATCACAAGGTACGTAATTTCATCTTTAATTTATATAAGCTAGAATATATAAACTTTTTTATATGATTTCATGATATGATTTCTTCATTATATATTCATCAATCATTACACTCTAACTGATTCAATATTCATACACAGTATCATGCTACATATAATACTACAAAGTAAAATATATTCATTCCCTCGATGTCAAATTAAAGTATTATTTTTTTAATTATAAAATTTTCATGAGTACACTATTAAATACTCCCTTCATCCCAAAAAGATTTACCATATTCACATTTCTTAATCATTTTTTAAGAAAACCCCACTTATATTAATATCATTAGGATTCGGATTGTTACATCAAACTTAAAGATATCAACACTGACAACTATATGTTTTGAAGTACATAATAAACTTCTTAAAAAATGAAAAATTAAAAATAAATTTTACATTATCCAAGATGCTTCAGTGCAAAATTTGTACTAGAACTTTTAGCTTTTATATTAGAATATTGTTTTCTATCTCATTTATCCAAGAACTTTGAGTACTTGCATTTTTTAATTTAAAATAGTGATTGTTTGACTTGTTTCTCATTTTAAATTAATGACTTATTGACTAAATTTTATATTTTGAGAAGCACAAATGTATATGATATAAAATATGAATTTTATTTCTAACTATTTTGATAATGTCCTTCAGAAAAACTATTTTGATAATGTCAAATGTTTGAATGTCATGAATGTACAGTGGTCAGAGAATAATATATGAGTATGTATATATTTTTAAAAAAAAACTTGTAATTTTTAATATTTATAAATACACCCCATAATGTTTAATATTTATAAATACGCCCTCATAACTTTTAATATTTATAAATATACTCATGTATCTGCATCCTAGATTCGTAGCTACTTTTTATGATTTTATCGTATTCCCGTACCCATCTCCATGTTATCACGTTTCCGCGTATCGGTATCAGTCCTCATAATCCTCACATTTGCCCCATCAATGGAAGGTTTAGCTGTCTGGTTCAAAAAAAAAAGGTTAAACAATCAACTAACCCAGCTACAAAAGTTTTTCAGAGTAATTAGGTTTTGTCATTTTGTGACTTGGAATGAGCAGAATCTAGCTACGATCTTGTGGCTCGAATCTAACGCGTTTTAATTTTACAAAATTGTTATTTATAGCAAAAAAGGAAAAGGCCAAGCTCTACTTCGAGATAATTTATAATATTATAGGTTGCATTGACATTATTCTAGAGTAGAATAATCCTTAATAAACTACCCAATCGTATGTGACAAATAATGTAATTATCTTTCAATTAGTTTGCCCAGTAAAAGCTCCTTTGATCCAAATGCATATGGAACCCCACACAACATAATCAAGCACATGTAATCACATGATCAATGGAGCTATTAATGTGTCCACCAATCTCCCCCATCACCCTTTGTATTATTATTATTATTATTATTATTATTATTATTATTATTATTATTATTATTATTATTATTATTATTATTAGTTGAATTTCTCTTTTACGTTCTTGATAGAATCATAAAAAGGTCCATGCAGTTACTATTCAGATGCATGATGCCTAACTCAAGTGCTGGAATCTGGTACCAAAGTCAGTAACTTTTCAAATTAAATAACTTATCATCATGCTATTATGATGACTTAGATCTTGTTTGACACCCAATCAATGTCTAGAGTTAAGTTAAAGGATAATTCTTATTGATTTCAGTGATCAGCTAGTGTAATTAGGAGGTTGAGCAGGTGGATGGAAGGAAAGTGTGATAAATTAAATTAGAGGTATGCTAAAGGTACCCCAAAGTTGTACCCATTTTTACGGTCCACTCCTAATGTGTGATCATAAATAAGACAACTCATTTAAGTGAGGCACCACTTAAATGAGTTGCCCGATTTATGGCCACACAATTAGGGGGTAAAAATGGGGTACAACTTTGGAGTACCTTTAACATTTTACATTAAATTGATTTCTTTCACCTTAGTAGTTAAATTAGTACACTACGTAAAACTGATAATTAATAACTTGTTATAAAACATTGAAGTAGAATGTTCTCACTGTATTTATTTGGATGTCTCAATTAAAGATTCTTCTTTTCTATTTTAGAAACTATTAACACTCTTAAAATAATACATTTATAACATCAAAGCTATCATCAGACAATAACTCATTATATTATATATATATATATATATATATTCATTAAAATTATTTATCAAAATATATTCGAATTAACATTAAATTATTGTCTAAATTATCGTGTCATTTTGTTGTAAGAACCTCTGAACGAGAACGAGATTCATCGTTTTCTATTCGGCTTTACGGTCCAAAGCCCTCTTACTGATTGCCAAGCACATAAAATCGACGTTTTCATCAACTGAAGACCCCAAAGTCAGTCAAAAATGTTTTTCTATATGCCATTTTGGAACATATATAGCCAACCTCAGTATTATTCTCAAGTGTTTATCCTCTGCATTGCAGAGTCGTGATCGAGATCTGTTTTGTTATTAATTAGTTACTGAGTATATGCATGTATTTATATCTTTTTTGGTCCTAATAAAAAATTGTTTTCCACAATGAAAATGAAGTAAGGGAATCAGATTTAAGATCCAGGACCTTAAATGTGCCAAGAATGTATCAATTTGATTTAAAAATACGGTGACATTTTAATAATCCAAAAATAATCATCACAAAAGTGCATCAATTTGTACTTGAATGTGCATTATGAATGTGTAACTTAAAAGCGCATTTGTATGTATACAGTGGAATATTCTTTTTATTATTTGAACCACACCATATACATATATATATATATATAGAATGTTGGATGAAAATGAGAAGTAATTAATCATGACAGTGAATTATTAAAATGTACAAGAAGTGTTTGGTTATATAGAAAAGGTTATTATAATCTTCGTTGAGGTTAATATCTTTAAGTCCAAAGATCCAACACACTTCTTTGGCTATTGTTGGTATGCTTGTGAAAGAGATAAAGTGAGACCGATGGTCCACCAACAAAATGGTTCAATTACTCAAACGTATTAGGATGCAAATGTTGATTACAAGAAATGACCGAATGAGAGTTCCGAACCAATTGCTTATATAAGGGCTGGAAAGTAATATCTCGCTAATGAGTCTCAAAATGTTAACCCTTTAGTCTTTACAATGAAATAAATGTCAGTATTTATAGTATGAGTGAGTATATGAGATGGGTGATGTGGCTGATTCTTAGGTGATCCATTGTGAGATTTCCCGCCAGTTGTTTGGACTGATCCATTGTTGACAATTGCAGTAATAAGAGGAAGACTTCAAGTATGACTTGCATGCGGTTTGGTCATTCCCGTTCGGACACACGCCGTACAGCCTTTCCTGAGTTGGACTCCTAGGTTGGCTACTCTACGGATTTGGGCTTGCTAAGAATATTTTGGGCCTGCATTTGGATCGGACCCTAATATCCCTACAATCTCTAATAAATGTGCAGAAGTTTAATACTCCGTATATTTTTTCAGGATATTTACTCCACTAATCATGGTGATTTGCCTAGCGAATTAAAAAAAGTTATGCATCCACGATGCACTTTTGTAGTATAAATTTTTTTGCACATTCGAGATTTAAATATTTATTATTCCACATGCTTGTCTTTTAATCAAAATTGCATATAATTCATATATTCAAATTAAATGATTAAAGATCGAGTTTCATTCTAATTTTTATGGGAGGACCACTCTTCGATCACTTGTACTTTTGCATGTACGTATATATTAGATCCTCAATTGTTTGGAACAATAAGTTGAAAAATGTGTAAGGTAAATATTATTCTTGTTGAAAATTTAGAAAAATATTTTTCTTGTTGAATATTTTAGATTATTACTTGTATTTATTATTCAATAGGTTTATAGGTTGAATCTCCAACCTCAAGAGCCCCTCACTTACAGATCCAACACAACATTTTGGAGGATGCAAATCACGATAACTCAACTAATAGTGTTAAAGTGTACACTCTTGTGCACCAGATGCCAACCCAACACATAATAGTTGTGACATCCACACAATGCCTTAGTACTACTTTTAAGCGTATTAGAGACAATTTATGCCTTGGATGTTTGTCCTATTTTTGTTCATACATACTCTAAATGCAATACTTTTGGTGCTATTTCATACATCATTTTGATATTCATTGATTTAGAGCTCGATTGATAATCCTTATTTTCTCAATTTTTTATTAAAAACGTAACTTTTGATTTCGCACATTGAATTGTTCAATAATCCAAATAAGTAAGTTTGAAGTTAATCTTACATTTAAACATATTCAGCCGATTCAGACAATTTCAATTTTATAAGACACCTTCTTAATATCTAGATTTATTTTACCAGAATTGTTTTCAGTATCATATCAACACAGACCATATCAGATCAGATCATCAGATTTGAACAATTATAAATTAGAGAGAGACCAAACATTTATTGAATCAGACCAAATCAACTCGGATCCTGGCCAGACTAAAAAAATTCAATCCAATAAAAAAATCTTTATTATTAGGCATTTAGTAATTTAGTTTGTATGACATGACATTAGTAACCGTCGGTTCGTCCAGCCTAACCCGACCCCGGCCGGGCGGCCAAGACGATGGTGGTCCACCTCCCCTCCTCCTTATAAATCAAATTTCCAACACCACAAACACATCAAACAGAAATTTGATCGTTTTTTTTAATTAATTTTCTTTCTGCGTTTGAACAAACAATAATAAAAATAAATGGCAGAGCTGGTCGGGCAGGGCGTAATGCCGCCGAAGCTCATCACTTACCTCTCCTCTCTCCTCCAGCGAGTCGCCGACTCCAACGACCTCACGGCGGCGGCGGAGGCGGTGAAGCAGAAGTGCGAGGCGGAGGAGGAGGAGGCGGCGCAGAAAGTGTCAGTCTTCCACGGGCTGACCCGGCCGGGGATCTCTGTTCGGAGCTACTTGGAGAGGATTTTCAGGTACGCGAATTGCAGCCCGTCGTGCTTCGTCGTCGCCTACGTTTACCTGGACCGGTTCAGCCACCGCCACCCCGCCCTCCCCATCAACTCCTTCAACGTCCACCGCCTTCTCATCACCGGCGTCATGGTTGCCGCCAAATTCATGGATGATATGTAAGTTCTGTATTTTTTTTTTCTTCCCAAAATTAAATCCCTTCTTCTCCTCAATCTTCTTTCTCCAATTCAATTCTCCTGGTTCTAAAATATCTAAATACATTCCCAGTTTTCTTTGTTTTTTGTCCTAATTTTTATGCTTTTCTTTAATTTTCCCACATTCATATGTTCTTTACGTCAAGTCAAGACATTATCTTATTTGCCCGTTTCTGTCCCGGGGATCTCTGAAGAATATCACTCCCTAATATCTTCATCCCAAATTAATTTGCAAATTTAACATTTTTTTGTCAAACAGTAAGATTTTATTCTCCTAATTAGAGTATCAATTTTTAATTATATTTTAATTAGGAGTTTGCAAATCTCAAAAGATTTTAATGTAGTTTCTAAATATGTAAATTTTAATTATTAAAAATTGAATTAATTGTCAATTAGGATAATTTGACTTTAACAAAATATAGACTTTGTAAATCAATTTGGAACTAAAACTTATATATTTAAAGTAATATTTCATCAATTTTTCAAGAAAGTTGATTTATAGAAATACATTAAGTTGAAGTGTTAAGTATATGATTGCTAAAATAAATTAGTTAGTTAAGGCCTAAAGGGAGACAGTGTGGTAATTTGTACTAAAAGTATTTTTTATATTTCCAAATCATGGTTGCCAGCTGTTAGTTGTCATTTGTAATTTTGTGTAATTAAAATCAAAGTAGATTATATAGGCCTTATAGACGGGTTTCTTATTGCTTAAAAAAGTGTTTTTCATTTTTTAGTTGTAAGAAAGTTGGAAGCAATTTTTTAATTAAATATTGAATTTAAATTAAACACTTCAAAATTACCAAATATTAATTATTACATCTAGTTTTGAAAAGTTAATTTTACAAACACTATTAACTTTCGTCCAACCCAAATTGTATGTTTTTATTCTATATACAGAGCATCCATAAAGTCAACAATTACTCCTTAAGTACTACGGAGTATCATTTACAATAGTGAGTACTCTCACATGGGAAGAAAATACAACTCCCCTATGTTTTTGTCCTGTTTTGAAGAGTAAGATAAAATAAGGAGTATGAGAAATATTAAAAGGTAGAATTAGAAGTTATAAAAGAAAATGTGAAAATTAATTAGAAATTATCTTAAATAGGAGCGAGAATTGTTTGACATTCTAAAATAGAAGTTCCATACTTTTTTCTTTAGCTATTAGTAATTACTGTTGCGTTTGAAAAATACTACTCCCTCCGTCCCGCTAACAATGGGACAAGAGAGAGTGATACGCAAATTAATAAAAAGTTATTTATGTGGTTGATATTGAATTGATAAAGTAAGAATAAAGTAAGAATGATTTAGAGCCACACAAACTTTACCAAATTTGGTAAGGGACAATCTTAGTGGGACGGACCGATAAGGTAAAATGGGACAATCATAGCGGGACGGAGGTAGTATTAATAATGACATCAAAACTTTCATATTAATGTCTAGTAATGACAAAATATGGGAGAATGATTTCAGGAAAGATACACACAATACTTCTATTTTCGGCTTCAAATTATTTTTACATCTATTTCGAGAAATTTTCAAAAAGTAAAGTTAACATAATTAGAAATGGGTCAAACAATAATATAAAAAAATATAAAAAGAATAAGGGATACATAAAAATGGGGGGGCATTTTTTATGTTGTGATTGTACACAACAAACTTTTTTAAACTAAAGGTTATTGATCCATGCCCCTGATTTTAGTCAATTTTGTTGCCAATAAATACTCAAGTATGGTGAGTTAACTCAAAGAAGATTCCTGATATTGGATACTACTGCTTTTCTCCTTTTCAGAGAGTTGTATTGGTACAAATTAATACAGTAATATATGAAAGGTTTTGGTCTTTAATTTTCCAACCAGAAAACAAGAAATGAAAGATGGGTAGGAGAAAAATGGTCTGAATTTGGTACAATTTTGTTGAATTATTAGCGTAACTAATGATGTGATCATTGTATATACTCTTCATTTTTAGTTTTTTGTTTTTGTTTCACATTGACATCAAGCCTAATTAATTATGATGATTAAAACATCTTACCAGCTTTTTTAATTAATTAAGTATTATCAGTACAAAAAGTGGATCACTGTTTCGCTTGGAAATCAAGTCATGGCCAGCAGTGAAACTTGCTTTAATTTTCTTGTATACCTTTTATAGTTCATCATATATATAGTATACTTCAGCATTCCACCTTTAAAGGCTACCATTGAAACAACAATGTGATGTGGGGATATTTATTGGAAGATTCTTTGCACCCTTTTATATTCTTTTATTTGGTCAAGCTATGCATTCTCAACTTTCAATTAAGCAGTCAACCCTAGCTATATTGTAATTACCAATGCATTTTATTAGGATTTCATATTGTACTGTGCTCTAATAATAATAGTAGCAGTACCCCAATTTCGAAATAATGACAAATATATTACTAAAAATAAAGATTATTGTCAAAACGTCACTTTTCGTACGCAATTATTAGTGTAGTGATCGAGTACTATACTATTACAGTAGTGACTATAAATGTATGTTGTAACTTTAATAACACCTTCAGGCTTCCGTTATAAATTTGGGAAATTGTCTTAATCAAAATATGATTTGATTAAGACAATGTATGTAGAAGCAAAAGTATTTGTGTAATTCAAAATATGACTATTATGTTTTTATTTCTTAATCAAGAGTAATTACTGACATGTTTTGGCAGTATCAGAATTTAAACATGAATGTAATTACTCATATTTAGGAATCAAAATGTAATTTGGAATTCTCAAACGTTTACTCCTATTTCATAAAATTTTTCATTTTTATTTTGTCATATTCTAGGAAACCTTTCACACACATATTAATGAAGTGCAAAGTAAAGTTGAATTTTATAATATTATCAATGTTATTGTAAATTTGTTTTTGTGTTGTATAAATAAAAATAACAAAAGCTGAGTACTATGTGAATACATGAATTCATTACACTCCAAAAATCCCATTCTGTCATAGTTTTTGTTATAGAATCACATTTTTCATTCCTTTAATATTACCAAATTGGCATTTTTAATTGATTTGTGTGGTGGGAAAATGCAAAATTACAGGTATTATAACAATGCATATTATGCAAAGGTAGGAGGAATCAGCACAACAGAGATGAATTTTCTTGAAGTGGATTTCCTGTTTGGGCTGGGCTTCCACTTGAATGTGACACCCATTACTTTCCAGACATACTGTGAGCACCTCCAGAGAGAGATGCTGCTCCTTCATCCCTCACCGTCAGATCTTGCACAACCATCATCTGCTGTATTATGCACCGGACGATCAGCAAAGGAGCACCACAAGTATATATGCTTCAGTGATGATGAAACTTCCCATCAACAACAACATCAACTAGCTGTTTAAATGTTTAATTAAGCTCAGATCAATTTTAATATATAAATATTCTGTTAATGAATGTAGTAAATTAGAATAGGTGGAGCTGTTAGTGTTTTTAATGTCTTGTTTTACTTTTAGTTGGGTCAGCTTTTGGGTGTTGTGCTGTAATATTTGAATAGTTTGCCCTGTTGTGTAAAATCTTCAAAAGATCATGGAGTGTGCTTTCACTTCATAGATATAATATATATGCCCTTTCTCTTCAATTATTGGGGATTTTCCTAAAACAGATATGCCCTTTTATGAATATCCTTAAATAAAGTCTTTTTTACTTATTTGGTAAATAAATTTATAGGACAGTAATAACAATATCAATTTATTCAACTACTTTTAAACAATAATGATTATACTTTGTTAAACAGCGTATCATACTGTAAAATTTATTCCTCGGGGGGAGGGCATTTCTGGTTGTTAAAAGAGAAAAAATTATTCCCTTAATATACTTCCTCCGTTCTTAAATAAGTGCAACAGTCAACATTTCACACTTGCCGAGACACAATTTTGACCATTAATATATATAATTCTCTATTAGTAAAAAATTTAAAAAATTAATTTTTGAAAATTTACAATGAGACAAATTTAATAATATATTTTTCAAAAAAATATATTAATACATCAAAGTCATCAATAAATAAAATGTAGTTAAAGTAGAAAATGTGAATAGTGTAAAATTTGACATGTTTCACTTATTTAAAAACGGATTTTTAAACAGCAATTTTTAGCCCGAGAAAAGAAGTGTACCACCCAATTATCAAGGTGATTATTGGTAATTGGTCATAGTCAAGTTGACTGATGGTAAGTGCATTTATAGCATTTGGCATGATATTAGTAATCATTAATCAACAATTTTGTACCGACATACTTCCTCGAATTGAATCGTAAACTTTGACTGTCACAAGGATTAAGGAATGACAATAAATGATGCTTGCTTTTTACAATTTTGTTCATCTTCCTAAAAGTGGATGTCTTTAAGTTAATGAAGAAAAAGTAAAAATAAGGGTAAAATTCTCATTTTATTTTTATTTACATACATAAAAAAGAAAGTAGAAAATCATTTTGGGACAACCAAAATAGGAAATTTTGCGAATCAAATTGGAACGAAGGGAATATTAAATTAGTGATATTTAGGCATTTTTCCAAGAGAAAATAGTGAAATTTATCGTACTAAATTTAGGACTTAATGTGCTTAGAATGATCTTAAAGTAGAACTAATCGACATTAACCTATGATGGACAGTTGCCCAGTGGTCATTTCCATTCTCTTCAAAATGTTCATTACTCATCAAACCTCCCAAAGGAGACCAAATTCTTAAAAGCTTTTTGGTAGATATGCATCAAAGATAACGACCATTTTCTCATGACCACCACACCATTAAAGAAAGGAATTCGTTTTTTTGAAAGAAAGTAAATTAATTGATATTAATCAAATCAAACTTCAATACATGAATAATAAAGCTAGGTGGGTCAGACCATCAAACGCCGGCTATTAGACAAAGAACGAGTCACTATAGCAAATTCGTGAGCGACTCTGTTCGTTGATCGTCTAATGTGAGAAAAATGGAGTTCCTTGAACCCGAGCACATCTCTCTGATATCTCCCACCAATATTATGGTAGTAGAAATACTTGACCATGCACGGATTTCAGTAATAGCACGTAACTACGTAAGCATCCGATTCAACTTCCACGATATATCAGCTAAGGGCTTCACGAATTCCCAATAATTCAGCTTCAAAGAAGAAAACTTAATAAGAAAAAGATCGAAATCATATCTACTAAATTAAATTATACTACGCACTACGTATCAAATTTGGATTATTTGACAATGTTTTAACTTTTCTATTCATGTTTTCGTTGATGTAAATCACACATAGTTAACTTTTTTTTAATCATGCTCATACTAAATAAAAATATCACATGTTTCTCAACTTACAACCCACCAATTTAATTGGAAGAAGAAGAGTAATTAATGTCCCATGAATGAACTCTTTCACAATGTCCTATGTGCAATAGAAGGTGGGACGTAACCCGGCCACTTTGTGGTGTAAAGATTTTTTGTCAACTTGAGGAACTTGGTGAGGAAGGAGGAATAATCCATATGTATAGGAACTTGGTGAGGAAGGAGGAACTTGAGGAACTTGGAGGTTGAGGTTCCATATACACACATGTATGCATGTGTATGTGTTGTATAATCCATGTGTTCCACTAAACTATACTAACCTTTTTTTTAATCGTCCGAGAAAATTTTGTCAATTCTATAAAATAACCAACTTGTGATTAAAGTTACTGTTTCTTATGTTCATATATATCAATCACACAGTTTTTACTTTATTATTCCACGCGCAAGTTAACTTTAACCAATTTTTATCGGGCGGAGAAAGTATAAAGTGGGGATGGAGACACCATGCTATGTTGTGGTTATGATATAACTTGTGATAGGGCCTCTGCAAGTACCGGACCAGAACCTCACTCTATATCTGCCAGTTTATGATTAAAGTTAAATTTGCATTCTCTCATCTAACTATCCCGTCGGTGTTGGGGAATCCTCAGGGATGGGGTATATCCTTTTTTGGGTTATGATATAACTTTGTATATAGTTTGGGTAGTAAAGACAGGCAATGCCAGTTGACAGTTGTGTATGATTCTGGGGAGGGAACATAGAGCATGTGCAATTATTCATTGCGTACAAACTTTGCATGTGCGTGCGCACTGGCGGCTAGCTAGTAGCTAGCTAGTTGAGACAGACACAACAGGCCTTGCCTTGTAGTGGTAGTCCTTCAATTTCCAAAGGACAATGAAGTATAGGAGGATTCAACTATTCAAGTGTTGTGTACTATAGCTTTCTTGCCTTCACCTTTCTGGTCTTGTGGATGGAAAGCTAGCGTAATTTTTTTGAGTTAAGTTGAACTTAATCTTGATAGAGTAAGCTTTTGGTTAGCAAAATTATGGTTAACGTAATTGTTATGCATTGAACCCAAGCCTACACGATGATAACCGGTTAAACTACATTCAACCGCTTCCATTTAACAAACAACCAAGGAAACCTATCTGAGCATGCAGTCTTGTTGAAGATGAATGTTGATTGTAAGGTTTTATATAACACCATATCCCCGAGGATCTAAAACCGGTTGAATAGTTATCTTGGATGATGTAAATTGAACTTTGATCCATACCGATGAAGATAACAATGACTTTCATCTAAAGTCTTTGCATGAAATTGAAACTGAAACCTCTCCCTTACGGTACCATCTTTCCACCGGCTGAGCTACCCCGACGATAAGATTTCCTATAACAATGCCAATTGACCTTATAGGGGTGGTAATAATAATTAAAAATAAATTATACTCCTTAAGAATGAACATGTCTTTTGTGGAATACTCAATTTAAATGCAAGGGCCTTTCTTTTTCTTTTCCTTTTCCCTCATTAACCGGCGTAATTCTTTCAAATTAATCTTAGGATATTTTTACTTGGACTTATTTCAGTATCAGACAAAATCATATTAAACAGATCAGATCAGATCATACTAAACTTAAATAGATCAGATCAGATCAAATCAAACTTTGAGAGTTATAAAATACACATATCAGAAAATTTTCAAATCGGACCAAATCCGGGGCCGAACCTTTATACGAGGCAAAGAGGCAGTAACCTCAGGCCCCACAAAATTGGAAAAAAACTAGGGCCCATAAATATTCTATGTGTGTATACTACATGTATAAATACGGAGTATCTCAAGAAGGCTCATATCGGAGGTAACATATACGTAGCACCTAGTACATAATAATAAATTGTGAGATAGATATGTGTCTTTAATTAGGCAGTTTAACATTTACTTTATTATACTACATAATAAAATACGGAGTAATGTTTTACTCCGTAATACTCCGTATCTATTTTCAATGGTATCGAATGGCCCTTTTATAAAGTTTGACTCAGACCAAAAAAATGTTAGGATCGACCCTGACTAGACCGAGATAAATCGCTAGTAGATCGTATGGTCTTCCAATTCCTAAACCTCAACTTAATGGTCAGCACAATTCCGATGAGAATCGCCACACCCAGTCAATACGTTCCTGGATTCCTGCCTTGGCAAGATACATGTCGTATATTGAATCTAAATTCTAGACTGACATGTAGCTATCAAGAATGTGCAACATGAAATGCATGAGGCACAATCACTCGATGATTGCTGTCCATGTAAATCAGGTTTATCTGTGAAGTTCTTGTTCTAGAAAGTGAGTCAACAAGACGTATCTCAATTTCACAAGGCACTATCCGCCACTACAAAAAAATCAATTTTTACATCTTTCGCAACAGGCCAGCCAATCTGTTACAAACAGCAATTAGGTGACGGGTTTACCTGATTCTATTACAAACTTTTGTAACAAACTTCCGTTACAAACATTGCTACATTTAGTAGGATGCAATGAAACTTCTGTGTTGCAACATATAGTAATGCTATCAAATAAACATATCAAAAGGTATACAGTATACACGCCATTTAAAGGCCCGTTTTGTCTGTGCCACAAACAAAACGGGGCGTTTAGTGGTGTGTATACTAGGCGGTTTTGAAAAAAATTGAAGTTAAAAATGACATGAATAAACAGTAAAATGACATTGAAGCTAGGGGTGGGGCACCCTTTTGTTTTACGGTAGTGGAGTTCTGGTCTTGGAATTACTGTGCCTATATCGTACTGAGATTTTGAAGTGGTACAACTAGATTGACACCATCCATGCAGTTTTGCACTTTCTTGATGCCTGACCGCATAAAGAAGTGGGAGTAAAAAGAACCATTCAATACTGAAATAAGTCGATTCATCAATAGCATAATGAATGTGGTAATTATTCTATGCTAGCCAATGTGCAAGTGATATAAGCAAACTGCAATTTTTAGAACTCGCCATGCCAAGACGGGATGTTAATGTGCATCAGGCGATCTTTTGTAGTCCCATAACTACCATTTATGTCAATTATTAGTTTTGAAACTTTGAACATTTGCTGATTATGTCCTCTAACAAGTAAACTTTTTCATGGAAATGTACTATTTCTGACCAAAAACGTTCATGGGAAAAGCGAGTTAGGAATGAAATTGGCAGCCAGAAGTAGTACAATATGGTATAAATTCCTTAATACAGATACTTTAATAAATCATCAAAAAAAATTCAAACTATATTTGGAATAAGGTCCTCCGCCATATGGCAGATTGCCTTGCAGGGAATGGATGAGAAGATAGAAAGGGAGACGGCTCGAGGCCAGTGAAAAAAATGCACATCTTCTACTGTTTATTTGATATTTGATAAAGGCCAGACACCTTACCTTGCAAGGCAGAGACACATGATCCATTCATTATGTTTGTGCCATTTGACTACTTGAGGATCATGGTAGCTCAAGTGGTTATGTGTAAGCTCTATGGGCAGTATAGGAAACTTAACTCCTCTAAGATAAAACTAACTTAAGAACAATAAGCAACTCTAAAATACAAAGTTTTGCTCAAAAATAAATTGAATGGGACACATGGTATAGACAACTATTTGCAGCATATGTGGCAATTGCAAGAGAAAATATATATCACTTCATAAAAAAGATAGAGCACATTGAAGTTCTGAGGTTCCTCCACCACTGGGAAAAGAAAGGCAAGATTTGAGAACACTTAAATGCTGCTCATTTTGTATGCAAACAATCAATTCATTCCGATGTTCCAGAAAAGGAAAAGTTGACAGCCAAAATAAATTACAACAGCCCTTACCATTCTGGGGTCGGCATTCGATTGGCCTTCGTGTCCAAGAAGGCCTTGGCAAAAGCTTCCACCATCTTCTGTTGGGATTCAAGAATCAACTCGGTCTTTTTCATCTCCATTTCCATCCTCTTTTGTTCCAATTCCCTCGCTACATCCATTTTCATACTCTCCATCCTCACAAACCCTTCTCCCATCATCTTGATTGCTCTGGCAGCCTCCAATATAGGATTTCCCTTTCTCTTCCTGACAGTCTCTTCTCCGACCACTATTTTCTCTTTCTTCATCACCCCATCCCCTCTATATGACCTGCTCGAGCCATCAATTTTGCCGTAAGGCTTGGCCATGGGAAGAGCGGTGGCTATAGGTGTAGCACTGTTAATTCGTATCCGAAATCCAGGACCGCCATTATTGTTCATTGAACCATGAAAGCTACTCCGCTCGTTATATCTCCGGTTGTTCTGGTTGTAAGTATGGCCGGCGTGTCTGAAGCTATTGTGATTGAAATCTACCTGATCATCTTCCATGTCTTCCTCTTCCGGGGCCGGCGAGGCAGCATCGGGGCCCCTCTCCATCTCATCCATGCGTTTGAAGTGGATCCAGGTGGAGCAGTAACGGCGCGACGGGCCTCCGCCGTAGGAAGCGGCGCGTTGGATCTCAGCGCGGTAACGTTTCCGTAGCTTCTCCATCTTGTGGCGGCACTGCATCGAGGTCTTAGGGAGATCGACGGGACATCTCGTGGCGATATCGGCCGCGACTTCCTGCCAGTGGTTAGCCCGGAGATTCCCGCGGCGAACGGAATACCACTTGTCTCTGTAAACGTCGATTAGAGCGGCGGTCTCGTCGTGGGACCAGCACGGTGGAGGGAGGCGGCGAGAGGAAGCGCCTCCGTGGGATGCGATCGTGACGTTAGAGAATTGGTTCTCGGGTAGCGCTGTAAGCAGATCCTCGCTCGACGGGGTAGGCGATGCGGCCATGGCGGTGGTTGCGTGAGTCGGTTGTGAGAGGAGATGGAAGATGTAAAGATCGGAGGAGATGAGGGGGCGGCGGAGAACGGTGACATAATGAAGGAGTGGTGATAGGGTTAGGTATAAAGTGATGGGGGTAGCGGGTCGGCGTGGTGGATTGCGGCTGATGTGGAGAGCTAGAAAGATGAGACCACCGCCCACCGCTATAGGTGGGGACGCTAACCTGAGCCGTGGACGCGGTGAGTGCTAACGTGCGCATCCCGATTTTTATACGGCTCCCCTCTGCGCACCCGGCATTTGCCGCACCCAAATTTTGATGAGGAAGACAATTCTATCCTTACTCAGAAATCATCAAGATCTTATTACACTATTAGATACTAGTATTTCCTTTTTCTTTTTAAATTGCTAACATTAAATTTTTTCACGTTTGTCAACGTACAAGTTTGATCATTAATATGTGAAAGAATGGCAAAAACATCACTTTAGGACTTTGACTAGACAAAAATATGACTATTTTTCTCTTGGACAAAAAAGTAACCTAAATAAACGGCCTGACCCGTCATCTTGGAGACCTCCTCCTTCGCACAACACGCAACATCGATTTGGACCTTTTGCGCCTTCTACCTTTGCATTGAACATATCTGGAGAGCACAACGATGGCAATCGATCTCCAACGCCGGACTCCTTCCAGTGCCACAACTACCTCTGTCGTCGCCTATTTCTTCTGCGCAACCCCAGAGCCTCCCTCTTCCGTCTGATCCAGAACTCACGCATAAGGAGGAATGTCGTTCAACCGCAAATCAGCGCTTCAACAGCGGCGAATGGCGGCGATGTCCAACGTCAGCGGCTCTGACTACGATTAGAGATGACACCTCGCCTCTGTCGCTCCTATCTCCGCCGCCTAGTCCGATCTCCGCCGTCGTTGACGGCTTCAATTGTTTGATCTTCTTCTCCTCCTTTCTTCTGTCCGGTCTCCGCCCTCAAGGAAGTTGCGATATCGTCGTGCTGCTCCACCCCCGTTGCAGGTGAGCAAAAGTTGGGGAAGAAACTAGATCGTGGCTGCTGGGGTCTATTCTATGCTAGATCGGAGCTGGTCGGGGCTAGATCGAGGCGGTTGGGGTTCGGTTAGGGCTAGATCTGGGCTTGTCGGGGCTAGATCAGGGTTGTTGGGGTCTGGTCGAGGCTAGATCAGGGCTAGACGGAGCTGGGTTGTGGGCAGGGAGGGGTGTTGGGGGTTGACGTGATGAGGCGTGGGGTTAGGGAGGAGGGAGGACTGTGTACAATGGAGGTGATGGCGGGGTGGTGGTGCCGGTGGGGCGGCGGTGACGGTGGCAGGCATATTTGGGTGAGACTTGTGATATGTCACTGGGTAGATTTGGCCGGTCATTGGACAATGTAGATGGTTGGGAAGGTGACTGGGGCTGGGGAGTCAACCGGGGATGGGGTGGTGGTCGGCGGCGGTTGTACGCGTGATGGTTGGCGGTGGCGCTAGGGCGGGGTAGGCTAGTGACGGGGCTGTGAGGAGCAGGGGCAGGATGGGACTGTCCCCGGAGTTTACGTGTCACGCACTGTGGCGATGTCACCGGTGGTGGTCATGTCACTATATTGGTGTCACCGGTGGCGGTTTCACTATGATGGTGTTACCGGCGGCGGTGTCACTATGATGGTGTCACCGGTGGCGGTGTCACTGTGACCGGTGAACGGGGCGGTAAACGTCGTGGAATGGAGTCATGATGTTGTCACTGTAAAATTGTTCTAGTAGTGTCACTGTAAAATATCACTGTAGCATCGTCACTGTAGCATAGCCACTGTAGTGTCATTACTGTAGTGTCGTTACTGTAGCGGTCCTGTTAGTATTTGAGTCACTTTTTTGGAAAGTTAAGTAAAAGGTCACTTTTTGATCAATTATCCCCTTATTAGTAGTATTAAGGTCAAACCCCCTTAATATGTTTCATTTATAAATGAAAAGATTGAAAAATTAGATTTTGAAAATTTAAAATCAGAAAAATTTAATAATATATTTTTTAAATTTAATTTATAATACATTAATAAATAAAATAGAGTCAAAGTAGGACATTTTATTCCAACATTTTAATAGTGCAAAAAGTTCTCGAAAGAGAACCAAATTCCTTTATTTTTTTAGCTTTCCATCACATTTTATAAATTTTCAGATTGCATCTTTCAGACTATTTTTATTTTAGGTCTGAAAATATCATGATTATGTTGGGCGTTGATTTGAATCTTTCAATTTCGTGACACTTATTTAATCAAAACTAACGAGTACAAATTACTACGAAAATATTCCGTATAATACTTACCATGCCACGATTTTTTTATAATTGTTTTATTAATTTGAGAAAGTCAGAATGTCATTCTACCTTCCTCCTCGATCATATTAACTGTTCTTGTTCAATGATAACAATTTTAGATCATAAATTTAATTATTATATTTTTATATAATTTATAAATTTTCCTTCTCCATCCCGTTGGAAGGTTCACATAGCAAAATGGCACGGTTATTTAGACAAAAATTAAATAAAGTAATTCGAATATATTTTGAGAAATAATTTTAATAGGTATATATTATAATGTAGTTAGTATTGATAATTGTAATGTTATAAATGTATTTTTTTCAATATTTAATTAATTTGTTACTTAAGATTGTTAATTGTTTCCTAAAATGGAAATGAGAACCTTCTAACGAGACGTCCAAAAAAAGAAAAGTGGAAACTCTCTAACATGACGGAGGGAGTATGTTTTATCAGTAATCAAATTTAATTATCATTGTTCAAGAAAATTCAATATGGTGAACCTTTTTTGGACGAATGGGGTAAATAGTATTTTCAAATGTCATTAGTGTTTTAGCATGATAGTATATACTCCGTAGTGATCATTTGGAAAGCATATTTTCCTATTTTAACATTATAATATGTTTATTTTAATATTTTAATAATAGTATCTATCATATAGAGAGTTCTAACGTTTTTAATTATGATAACATAATTGTCGGTACAATTTATGCATCTTTATCAAATCCTCACCAAAATCATTCTTTCACGAAAAATATAAAACCATTTATTAAAAAAATGTTACATTGAAGGCATAAAGTGTAGACTACAATCCAGCTTCATTTTGGGAAGTTGATACTTTATATTTGAAACTTGTAAACTTGCTGTACGAATTGAAGTCCAGGATTGTACGTGATCCTAGTTCTATTCTCAAAAATTAACATGAAATTTTTGCAAATGTTCCATGCTCTCAGGATTCAAATATGTTGTTAATGACAGTGTTGTTCGTTTGCCCTTATACATGAGGTGATATCAAAGAATTATAGTCCCAATTTTGTATTTTCTTTTAAAAGTTGAGAATTCGTGTTCAGAACGATTCAGATGGGTTGAGAACCAAACCTAGAGTCAGAATCTGGAGGCAGACGTGCATTGTCCAAATCTAAAATTTTATAATTAACTAGGGTTTGATTAAAGTCTTCCGTATAGACATCGGAAGTAACCAGATCAGAATCTAACTTGACCCGACCCGGCCCGACTTGATCTAATCCATGTACATTTGCGCACTCCCGTATAAAAAGTTTTGAATCTGCCACTAGGCACACACCAGAAATGTGTAAATGTAGAGTTGTGGTTTATGATGTTTTCTTTTGAACTGAAATTTATTGGTCTAATCTGATATGATATATTTAAGTCTGATGTGATCTGGTCTGATCTAGTAAATGTCTGATCTCTGTTTATTTTATATTTGTCCAAGTTTGATCTAGTCTAATTTGTTTAAGTTTGATCTGATCTGTTTAAGTTTAATTGAGTCTGATCTAATCTAGATAGAAAATGGTCATACACAAAATATCCTTAGTCAAGGGAGGGATGAGAGAATAACGGGGGCAAGGACCGAAGATGAGAGAGGTTTTTTGTGCAAGGGTTATTGTATCAAGGCACGCATATTTCCCCAAGAAACTAACTAGCATTTCTCCTCATTCTTTTGTAGATATACTTCTAATTTATTAGTGTATATTCCATTTTCTGAATGCTTCAATATTTTTATATAAGTGCAGACAAAAGATTGTAGAAAAAGATAGTCAAACCATCAAAAGTTAGCACATTTTATTTTACATCATTGCAGAATTATTAACTCTGACGAATAGGTTTCCTCATTTTCTCTGTCATGTTATTCAAAAAGTAGTTAATTTTATTTTTTAGAAGGTGTTTGATACATATTTTAAAAAATGAATAATTAGTTTTATATTGTTTTAACTCTCATATTAGATTCTAAAAATTATAAAAGAGTAATTTTAAATGGTTCTTGCAGATTCAGGCAATTGAAATAACTTTTGTTCTAAGTAAAATGATTTTGAAACTAGAGATAGACTAATAACAAAATGATACATATTACATGGATGAAAAAATGTAGGGACAAACAAAAGATATATCATATTTGCAAGGATTACAAATGTATTTAAGTCTATCACATAAACAGAAAGGTATCACTAAGACATTTATTGAGACCGTGCAATAAAGCTACCACTTTGTAGTTGTCACTAATCTGTTGTTTGGAATGGATTCTGTTTCTATTTCTTTTTTAAAAACAGAAACTGAATCAGAATCAATTTTTCAAAGTTGGTCTATCCCGACTTCCAAAAAGCTGGTTGACTGGTTCTAGTAACACTCAGAAATACTTCTGTGTTTTCATTCAAACACTACAATATCTATTTCTAGAGTGGAAGAAGTTTTAAAAAGTTGATTAAAACTACCTAAGTAGAGAAGATTCTCAAATCTAGCGTATATCATTCTAAATAGTAACCATGGAAACACGGGTAGGGTGATAGGACTGATAGCCCGCCATGAACGGCAAGCAACGAAGGGACCTAGGATATCATAGTGAGAGACTCTCACTATAATTATGAATACTATTTTATACTCCGTATTGCAAAAGAGAGATAATTTTACCCAACAAATCTCATAAACCAATGTTAGCAAACCAATCTCAAATAAAATAAAAAAAGATAAACCAATTCAATCTAAAGGGCAATGACAAAGATCCTTAGGGCATACGCATACATAAGAGTATCAAGGGATGAAGTTGATTATCATTATGGATCATGGATTATATTGGTGATTAGTTTTTAGAACATGGTTTTATGAGAGATTAATTTGTGAATTACTTGTTCGTATGATCCGAGATTGAAAACATAAATCTAGAGTTCTAGACTATGGTGGACCCGGTCCGGTCCCGGCCCGGACCCGGTGGCTACCCGAGCCAGTCCCGGGTCCACCATTTCTGAACCACCGGCCTGCCCGGGCCTAGGCCCGACCCGGACCCGGCCCGAGTCCAACCCTATAGCATACCATCCATTTTATCTCACTTTCGCCGTTACCAGCCAAAACAGCTGAATATGGGGGAATGGTATTAGCGAGACAACTAAGATGAGGTGAAAAGTGAATTGAAGGTGATGCGGAAAATAAAGGCGAAAATGGTTCATCGGGCCGCTACCTGTTCTGTCGAGGTGGGATGCCAGGCTTGACATAAACAAGTGAGGTGTGAAAACATTACCTGAAGCATATGATGTTGTTTTACATAAAGAGCCATGGCAAATAAACAGCTATTATCACTTCTTGAGCATCAAATATTCCTTATAGCATTGAACGTAGGGTTAGTTCAATGTGACCTGTATAGACAGTGTCCACACGAGCTCTAAACTATGGGATAATACTCTCTTTCACTCACATGTGACAGAGGGTGGATGATATTATGGTTATGACGCGTGTGGACACAATAGACAAGTAGCATGAAACAAACCTAAATTAAGCATGATGGATGAACATTTAGTTACGATGTCGAGAACATTTGGTATCGAATAGAAGCTATAAACACAAAATCCAGAAAACCCAGCACGGTTGGACTTCATGTGCACTACACTTTTTCATTCTGAAGCAACTGTTCAACCTTTGACTTGTTGGGCTTCGTCTACCTTGGGGTCATCTTGTTTGCATTCATTCTTTAGTAGCATCAGCTCTACCTCGGTGATGACTTCTTGAGCATCCTTAACCTCAGGACCTTCTTTTATGATGTCTTTGTCAAGCTCATCCTGAGAAAACAAATTCCTTGTTTGCAGATAAAAGACCAAAAAAGGAGCAACTGAGGAGGGGGGAGCACATATAATGAGTGACCATAAAACTTTTCTGGTATACTATTATTTCTTTGAGAAAAGATTATCTTTTTCAATACAGGGACGAAACCATGCGCCGCCATGCCCCTTATGGGATACACTGTTGTTAGCAGCCATCAAAATACATAGTATAAATAAAACGTATACATATTATATTTTTCTTTTGTTTCAAATGTCAGCTGAGAGAGGTTTCAGATGAAGCAATGTACACGCATGTGATATCATAGCAAGGACTAAAGCAGTTTTCTACAAAGGACTGTGTGGGTGGGTTTAATTCTTAAGCATGTCTAGGTAGGCTCAGGCAGGTAAAGAGAATCCAAGAAAATGTAGGAGACTTGAGGAGTTTGTGTTTGCTTCTACTTTTGAGACGTGGTTTATTTTAAAAATGTTTATAAAAGTTGGTGATGTGAAAAAATTTGATTTTTTGGGCAACTCTTCTAAACTATGAAAGTATATGTTCAATGATAATGTCATTCTCCTTAATTGAGATGGGAGTCGAATTTGTGACCTCCACTTTAGGATGAAACAAGTGACGCAACCAGACCACAAGTAATTGGCAAAAAGATTTTGAGAAGTCAAAATTAGATGGGTTTGATAAAAATGCTTGTTATGCAATGGAAAAAGTGAAAAACAATTTAAAGCATCTCTCCATTTGTAGCTATCAAGTGCTTAATGTAAAACACTATTATAAGCATTTCTACGAAAAAACTGATGAGCGCTTTTTAAAAAAAATTGCAACCATCGTTTAAAGGATGCCCAGGCAGAGTTTTTTGTAATCTGGCTACAAATGTCAAAAAAGGCAAATGAACTCTAAGAAGAATAAAGAGTGACATAGTAAAGGCATATCATTATATCCTCATATATTGCGTCAACCACAAGTATTCAAGAAAGTCTCATTTTCTACAACTGGAAGTAAGAGAAAATAATGAATTAAAAGAAACTCATAACTTCTATTACCAGGCTGCCAGGTGATGTGGATTTAAGGCTTCAAAAAAATTAACCCAAAGAATAAAAGTCATGTGATTCCAGTTACCCAGTTATGCTCTATGACAATACTAGGACTTAATTTGGCATATGATTGAAGTTAATGAAGCTTAAGAGCTAAATTAACTAGAAAGCAATATGAGACGATAGCTAGGCTACATCTAGTAAGTTAAATAGAAAAATGGTTCAATGTAAAGAATGGCTAATTTCACTGCATGGTATGAGTACCAGGGCTCCTTTAAGCTCAATCAGTGCATGTTCGAGACGCTTGTAAGAATCAGGTATCATCATTCTGGATTCAGCCAGAACATTTTCCTGCATAATAATAATGCATATAAGGAATGAAATCAAGAAGGGATGGGATAAAATAACATTAAATTCATCTGACAACGATTCGGAGTTCAAAAAATGTTTTCCCATCATGCATGGTCAACAAGCACAAACATATAAAGCTTGAAGTGATATTTCAGTGAACATTAAAGATACTAACTCCGTCCCTCTTATATTGGGTCGGAAGAGAGTGGCACGATCATTAAAAAAGTGGGGTTGTGTGGTTGATATTAATTGATAAAGTAAGAATAAAGTAAGAACAAAGTAAGAATGATTTAGAACCACACAAACTTTACCAAATATGGTATGGGACAATTTTAGTGGGACTTCCCGAAAAGGTAAAACGGGACAATATAAGAGGGACGGAGGGAGTATAAACTAAAAAACGTGAATCAATTGTAGATAACTAGATATATCTAGAATTTAGAGGAAGGCCCTAAAATGGATATCTAGATGATAATACATTCACGGAAATCTCCTTATGTTCCTATATAACCTACAGGTGCACGGTATGGAAAGCAAACAGCACCACATCAGCAATAGTTGACATTACCCGGCTTTTACCCATAATGGGCATAAAAATAGAGGCAGCCTGTTGGATGGAGGATGTATTTAGAGGGGATTGGGGGGCAGAGGTTTGGAGGCTCTCCATAACTTGATATGTATTTTTGGTTTTATAAAAATTAAAAGATGAATAGTGTGATTTCTTATAATACTTAAATCACCGTTTGTTTGTTTTTTGAAATACTAAGCCCCTTTTAGCTTTCCACTCCGAAATCCTCCATAGTCCGTTATAAGAACAATGATTCCCACTGCTACAAAACCCTGACAGAGTGACACAGGCAAGGGACGATAGTAGTATAGTACTCCGTATATTATACGGAGTACTTAAAGTACTACTCCCGTCTCATATGTTTCTTCTCACTTTTTTTAAGAATATCGCACAAGTTTCTCTCCATTAACATGAAACACAAAATGCAACTTACTTTCTTATAGACGTTCTAAGCCAAACTATACAGAAAATTTTGGGACAGTGAGGATTAATAGTGTTGTGCTTTAGCAAATAGCAAACATTGAAAGAGCAATTACCCATAAAACAAATCCCTTGACCGTTTACTTAAAATGAAACATACATTCCTAGCTCTAATCTCACTTTCTAAAAGGGTTAATTTCGACCTAAGATATAAAACTTTTTTATATCGTTATGCTGCCAAAAATACTATCTTTTCGCTTGTAATTCTCTAATACTTGCACTAAAGCGGTAATAGTTGGTGGATAAATGAATCTGCAAAAAAAGGAACTCAGGAACTAGATGGTCTTCAACAGATAAAAACCTGCTGTTTGAGGTCATATGGATCGGCATTATTAGCCTTCATTTCAGTGGTCTTAGAGTATTCCCTCTCGACCTCCTTCTGATACGAGGCCAGTTCCTTTGCTATGCGTTTGCAAGATGACGTCTTGATCTTTAGATTCTTAAGCGTATCCGCCATTGTCGCTGCTTCCGGGGGGAAATAGGGGATAAGTTTGCTTACGAAATAGGTAGATGAGACGGGAGATTATCAGGTGTGTAGAGATTTTACCTTAGTCGTGAGAATGTGAGATTATGAGGAAGAGAGACGGGCACACGACGATGAGCTGCACACGGCCTATTTCACACGATTCCTAATTTATCCGGAAGATGGACCCGAATATGAAACCGGGTTCACTCAATGGCTCTAGACTCTAGTAAGAAAATGTAAGCTCAAGCGGAATTTACTTTTGCTATCCCATTTTCAAAAAACGACTTTGTATCTTATTTCATTTAAAAATTATTTGATTTTGCGCTTTATTTACAAATTTTTCTTTACAAAATATTATATGATGGAGTGTAATGTCAAAAGTTATTGAAAGTAAGTGCAAAGTTCAATATCACCCAAAACGTGAGATGTAAAGTCAAATTCCCTCAAGTGTAAGGATCTTTTTTCTAGGATTGTTTTCAATCTCAAACCAGATCAGTTCAGACCAGGTCATATCAGACCAGATCAGATTTGGATAGCTATAAATTACACAGAGATCAGACATTTACCATATCAAACAAAACCAGTTCATACCAGACCAGACCAGGCTAGACCAGAAAATTTCAGTTGAAGTAAAAACATCATAAGTGTTAAACGTAATCTTACCTCGTTTGGGAGAATTAAAAAAATGAAGTGTTAGTAAAAATATCTTTATACCTTTTAAGTTGATATTAAGTACCCATAATTGCATTTGTTTAAATGATATTTAAGCTACCTAATATCCTCTGAATTTATGCCCCTTATCATTAAAACTGAAGCGCTAAAAATTTAAAACTAAAGTGTTAAAATTAAAATATTGCACCTATGGTATATATACGTAAAAATAAAGTGCTAAAAACGGCTCTCAATTTCAACTTCCTTCGAAAAATATGAAATATATCAAACCAAAACATAAGAACAAAATAGTTTCAAATCATGAAATAGCAATACAATTGTTTCAAACGACGCATATAACTTTTGTTATAGCTAAATGACGCATTCTAGTCCATTTATACAAATATTTTACTTTGATTCATGTATCGGTCATCCATGAAAAGGGGATTTTTAGAGGGCTGCAGAAAGATTATAGGGTTAGATGGTTGCTTCTTAAAAAGCTATTGAAGGGGGAATCCTTACCGCTCTTGGAAGGGATGCTAACAACAACATGTATCCAATTGCATGGGTCATAATTGAGATTGAAAATGCATCTTCGTGGCAATGATTTTTAGAGTTGTTGAAGCATGATCTGGAAATTGATGATAACAGTCCTCTGGACAGTCATAAGTGATCAACAAAAGGTATTTTGCCTTCACTGAATAATAATACTTCAAGTAACTGAATTACTTAATACTAAATGTGATTACTTTAAACTAGTTCAGTTTAAGTAATGTATTACATAGTATTACTTATTGTTAGAAGTAACAATGAACTAAGTGAATGGAATGGTAGTAAATTGTAGTAGTTATTGTAGTAACTAGTGTGGTAAAGTAACAGTAAACTAAGTGAATGGAATGGTAGTAAATGGTAGTAGTTATGGTAGTAAGTAATGTAGTACATTACAATTAAACTGATTCAACTATGTTACCCAATTATGTATTCCACTTACTATATGACTTGTGTGCAGGGTCTTAGCAATGTGATCCAGAGCTTACTCCCTCAAGCTTAGCATAGAAATTGTGCAAGGCACATTCATGCAAACTGGAGCAAGAATCACAAAGGGAAATACATGAAGCAGTTGTTCTGAATGTGTGCTAGATCCACATGTGAGTCACAACTTCAGGAGTGGCTTCAAGAGCTTCAAAAAAAGGATCCTGCAATAAAACAAGATTTCGAAAAATATCCTTTCAAAACCTGGTGCAAAGCCTTTATTAGGACTTTTGTGAAATGCGATGCAGTTGAGAACAACATGTCAGAGGCTTTTAATCGTACATTGGTGGGGTGTAGGAGAAACCCCATCATTCCCATGCTAGAAGACATAAGGATTGAAATGATGCAGAGAATTGCTAAGAAGAGGGACCTAGCTGGAAAATGGAAAGGAAGAATGTGCCCTAACATTAAGAAGATTTTGAATGCTAACATAATGTGAACTTCAAAGTGGAGGGTGGTATGCAATGGAGATGATGGGTTTGAGGTTAAGAAAGGGAAGTATCAATACAAGGTGAAGCTGGAGGGAGGCACCTGCTCTTGCAGATCTTTGGAGTTGACTGGAATTCCATGCTAGCATGCTATATGTGCAAAGTTTGATCAGGGAAAGGATCCATAAAGTTATATTGATGATTGTTACTCCATTGCTGCCTTTTATTCCTACACTTTGGAACCAATCAATGGGGAAATGACTTGGCCTACAATTGAAGGAGAGAAAATACACCCCTTGCACCCCAAAAAATCACTAGACGCTCAAAGAAAAAAAAGAGTCCGGGAGGAAACTGAGCCTCGAGCAGGCAAGCTATCAAGAAAGGGAAGGGTGATGACATGTTCCCTTTGTAAGGAAAAGAGGCATCAATGCCATGTATGTCCAACAGCTGCACCAGGAAGTCATCAGTAAGTGAGGCGAGGCAGGGGTTCCAGAGGTGGCAGAGGAGGAAGGGGTGGAAGAGCTGAACGATGTCAAAGGGCTGCAAAAGGTGGAACAAGTGAACCTTCTGGGGCTTCAAGGGCTAGAAGAGGAAGGGGTGGAAGAGCTAGTAGGGGAAGGGTGGTAGGAACTGAATCCAGTAGGGGGGAAATGAGGAGGTAGTAAAACAAATTTGTGTTTTGGAAGAAATGTAATGCATATTTATGGTTGGTTGGTCTTTATGGTTTTTGGGTGGTAAAACTAAAGGTACTTCAGTTTGGTGGATGCTTATTTTGGGGCTTTATGTTAGGTGGGTCAATGTATGTTTTGTTATGTGTTTTGCCAATGTAATGGTTGTTTGTGAAACTACTTATCTATTCAGATCTGTACTTATGGGTTTGCTAGTTTAATGGTTGACTATTATGACATATGCATTATTTGTCTTTGTACTTCAGTTTATAATGCTAAAGGTGTGGTCTTGCATAGAGTGATAGGTTGTGTAGGTGGGGTCTTGGATATGCATTATTGGTTTGTGGTGGGGTATGGGTTATAGTCTTTATTCGTTCCTTCAGCTTTAAAGGTGGGGTGGTCTTTGGTTTTTTAATGTAGCTAAGTACTTCACTCACATGATATTGTTTTGTGCATTATTGGTTTTAGCTTTTGGCTCCTTACTCTTTTCGTACAGTAGCTTCTTCAAATTGGAATTGTGTGACTGTTTGGTTTACATTTTTGTAAACCTAATTGTTGACATGGTCAAAGATGGTAAAAATGGTTCTTCACATTGGGTTGTAAAAATGGTTCTTCACATTGGGTTGTTTATATATTTTGTACATATGGAAGTTTATACTTTTCTGTAATGTTCAAAATAGAAACATATCTAAATATAAGAAAGCTGCAATTAGTTGAACATAATAACAAGCTAGATTATAACAAAGGTTCATTGATTCATCATTAATACCCATACATTAACAGCTTCAAATTACTAGCCAAGAGTACTTTGAACCAGTAAACAACACTAAATCTATCAATGGGTAACAACTACATTCAATACCCTCACATTAAGAACAACAAAACAATTACCAACTAACTCCAAACTATTACAACCTCTTAAGAATAAAAGCTGCAACAACAAATATCAGAAGTCCTTACCACATTCTCTTCCAAAATATCTTCTCTTTAGCTTCACTTTCAAGAACAAGTTTGATGCATTCTATATCACGTTGCATAAGTAACATCAACCTCTTCAGATCCTGAATTGAGGATTCCTTGATGCCAGTAACACCCATGTATGCTTCATTGTCTTCATGGAAAGAAAGTAGATCATCTTTCCATAAACAATATCCACACCCTAGCCCATCCTACAATCACAATCACTGTAAACAAATATCTACACCCTAACCCATCCAAACAGTAAACAAATTTTTCAAATTTACAGCTTCCTAAAATAATACCCACACAATCACAATCGCATACATACAAGACCAAAAAGTTTTGCAAAGTTACAGCTTCTAAAAATATTACCCTCCCCAAAATCAAAGATTTTAGGGTTTTTTGCATCAAAAAACAAACCCAATACACAATTCCAGACAAATTCGCCAAAATTTGTTATATCTTCCACAATGAAAACAAACGCCCCCTGAAAAGCCCTAAATAATGTACAACTTTTTACCTTCCGTCTTTGGCATCCATAAAACTTTCGACCGCTATCCCGTGTTGTACACAAACGAGCTTTCACACCACACAGACAGTTCGGGTTGTACGCACTCAATTTTCTTCCTAGCGCAGAGGAAGACGACGCACACATATCTTTCTATCTTTTTTGTGTAATATCACAACTTGTTTGCAGCTCGTTTAGAGAGAAGCCCCCTCCCCATTTTTTTAATATTATTATTACAATTTTTTGGGCCTCCCTAATAAAATTATGAAGACAATATGAGAGTTAAAAACAAAGGATGCAAGCAATAAGATAGTATTAGGCGCACTTAGAAATTACTTGTAACATAAGCCCTACTGTGATATTACATTAGTTTTGTGCAAGAGTGGAGCCGCTGACCCAACATTTGAACATAGATAACGCCACAATCTAATTCTTTCAATTTGGAGAAGCCTGGACGTTGGACTAGTGGACTGTCTGGTCATCTCATTCGTTTGGAACTTTGGAAGACTCGAAGTAGCCAATTAGGAAACTTGCAGACTGTATTTTATTTGAACTTGGAATTACTTGCACGCTTTGTGGTTTGAATCAACAGGTTTCAGGTAAAATTGAGGTCTTTTTTCATTTGTTTCTATATTATAATTTATTACTAAATATCAATTCACCATATGTAATACCATCATATGAGTTAGGATTTTGTTGTCAATTATTTAGTTACTTTTATTTATTAGTTATCGATTAATTTAATATAAGTAATAACATTAATAAAAATACTAGCATGTTGGGCCTCTCCTGAAATTGGATTATGATTATTAATCAATAAGAATTTGTTAATACTTATATAAACAGTTAAAGATGCGTATTTGTGTGTATTTAACTTCTTAGGTTGTACTGTGTGATTATAAAGTATTTATGTGACTTCTTTTAATAGATGAAAAAGTCACTAACTATTCATGCGTACTTTATAAGTGCAAATTCTGAAAGCTCTACATCTTAGTCGGTTGTATCTCCAAATACCGATCTTTTGAATCCCGAGAGTCGTCTTACAAAGTGTCAAAGAATTGAAATCAATGAGAGCTTTGGTATTCAATCCTTAGAACGTGATCCGGAATTGAGACCTCCGATTTGGAAATATATGGTAGAAAAGCGCGATGAAGTGCGTAGAGCTTATATCAAGGTTGGTCCATATCAATGTATGCTTTCAGAGTATCCAAAAACTGGAGAAAACATCGTTGGAGTTTTCAACCTTCATGGTTTAAGTTGTTTCCGTCTTGGTTAGATAACTCTCCTATAGCAGATGATGTTTTTTATTTATCGTGCTTTTTATTTCATACTTAACATGGACCTTCAGGTTCAAATGCTTTTACAATTGTCGGTTTTCGATCTCGGAAGAGACTTAGAGATGGAAAAATTGTTCACTCTTGGCGTATATTGAAAAGATCTCACTTCTCATCATCAAAATGCTGACAAATCTTGTGCAAACCTCATGAATCGAGAATCTCTCATTGCACGAAGCATTGGGAAATTCACTTCACAAGATGTTGCTGAAAATAGGCTTCACTCGAAGACATCAACTGAAGCAATTAGATGGTTTGCATTTCAACAATGTTCTTTACGAGGTCATGATGAGTCAACAACCTCAAGTAATCGAGGAAACATTTTATAGTGATTAAGTTACACAATCTCTTACCATGATGAAGTGGCAAAAGTTCCAGATAAAGCTCCTCGAAATGCAACATACACATCTCCAACACCAGAAAAACAAATTTTGCAAGTTATGACAATCCGAGTGAAGAATGCTATAAGAGAAGAACTTGGTGATGCAAAGTTTTGCATCATTGTTGATGAGGCTTGAGATGAATGCAAAAAGGAACAAATGTCAATTGTCTTAAGATTTGCTGATAGAGATGAATTTGTTCACAAGCGCTTCTTTGGAGTTGTGCATGTTAAAGACACAACTGAATCAACACCGAAAGAACCTATCTTTTATGTCTTATCTCGACTTGATCTTGATGTTAACAATATTCATGGACAAAGTTACAATGGTGCAAGCAACATGAGAGGTGAATGAAATGGATCAAAGACATTAATTTTAGACGAATGCCCTTATGCTTATTATGTCCATTGTTTTGCACATCGTTTGCAATTAACATTAGTTGTTGCATCAAAGGAAGTCTTTCCCATTCATCACTTTTTCACCAGGTTGAATTGCATTCTCAATATTGTCGGAGCTTCGTGTAAATGTAATGACCAATTAGAAGTTGTTCATGCCTCAAATATTGCTCATTTACTTAACATCAACGAGCTTGAAAGTGGGAACATGTGAGTTCTCATTTGATATCTATAGATAGCTTGATGAAGATGTTTATTGTAACATGTGAAGTGTTGTTAAAAATTATTGATGATGGAACTACATGTGCTCAATGTGGAGACGCTGATGCAACTTATGAGGTGCTCATTGCTTATGAATTTATCTTCATTATACATCTCACGAAAAAGTGTCAGAGATTTCTAATATGCTTTTTCAAGCTTTGCAGCTTCAGTCTCAAAATATTTTGAATGCAATTCAGCTTGTTTCATCAACTAAATTGCTCATTCAAAAGTTAAGAGATGATGGGTGGAAAGAGTTAGTTGCAAATGTAAATTTTTTTTTGAGAATATGTCAATATACATACACTAGACTTTGATGCTGTTTACGTCTCTAGAAGAGGAAGAGCTCGTCATCAGCAAGATAAGTTTACTATAAGAGAGCATTACAAGCTTGACACTTTCATTGTTGAACACTAAATTTAATGAAAAACAATCGAGCTTCTTTCCTTAAGCACATCACTTGATCCAAAGAGAGATGCACACAACTTTCGGAATTGATGACATTTGCAAGTTAGTAGAAACGGTTTACCACAAGACTTTGAAGAATATGAGATGCTACAACTGAAGATACAATTTCAACACTTCTTTCATTTGCGGCAATTTTCTAATTTTACAGTGTTGGAGTCCATTTCTGATTTATCTCAATGGTTGGTAAGAACTAGAAAATCTGAAATCTACCCGCTTGTATACCGAATGATTACTCTCATTGTCACACTTTCTGTATCTACTACTACTATTGAACGGTCTTTTTCCGCTATGAGCGTAATCAAGACTACACTTCACAACAAGATGAAAGATGATTTTCTTACTGATTGTTTGTTAGTGCTTATTAAAAACAAATTGCCAAAAAAGATAGCGTAGAATCTATCGTTGAAGATTTCATGATATGCAGAAAAGACGTTCTAAGTTTTAATTACTCAACGATTTAATTTTGTAATTTTGAATATTAGAAATGAATATTGGTTTATCCTTTTATTTTGCTATGAAATTTTTGTATTTTATATGTTAATACTTGTATTATATTCCGCCCCCTAGTACTAAAGTCTGGCTCTGCCCCTGGATGCTTTTATATGAAGATACAAATATTGACGGTGATAATGGCGAAAAGCATAATTTTTATTCTTAATTTATGCATGTGAATATTATTATTGTTCTAAAAGTTATTCACAATATTGAAAAAGACTAATGGAATAAATTTTAGAAGAAAATAAATCTCACACACACACATATATCATGTTTGCATTTATATATTGAAAACTTTCACTTTTATAGTCAATTATGCATTCACAACTTCTTTTGTTTTGTTTCAATTCTGAATCAAAATTTATATTTACACAAATGAAGTAAATCGAAGAAAGAAATTTTTTCTTTTATACTCAACATCGTTAAAAGAAATTGCTTGGAAGACTTGTGACATCTTTTATACAAAACCTTTTTCTTTTATACCTCTGTGACATCTAAGCTCTCTTTCTAGTTATCTAATTGCTCGGAAGAATCGTTCTCTAATGTTGAACTGTCTGGGGAAATATCCATTATATAGTATGCAGTAAGTCACCTTATGCTAGTCAATGAAGTGAGCAAGCCAACCGAGAGTTAGCCGGCTCCCATATCACATGGAATCATTCTTTAACCCAAAGGATAAAATTATTGATTGACGTTGATATAAAGTTGTTGATCAATGTCAGATCAAATATAGTTTGTTGTGCACTTCTTGACCAATGTGTAGTGACCCGAATTGGTCCACATTTGATCAGTACTTTTAGGTGGAAAAATGACTAAAATTTCTCCTTCTTTTGTATATAGTAAGATTAGGAACAAATAAATTATTTAAAACTTTAATATGGAATATAGTTTCATTGGGTTTAAATAATCTTTTCATTTTGCATGCACTCTTTCTTTGTTTGGGTGAGAATTTTGACGGATGGTGCTAGAATAAATATGGATACATCTATGGAAAGTAGTTTTGGTAACTTGGTAATAACACATTACTTTTGGTTAGCATATGACAAATAATTTTGATAACTTGGTAATAATGTTAAGTTTGGCACTTTTAGTAGACATTTATAATTCATTACTCTTATTTTTAATTTTCAATTCACAGCTTACTTAGTAGGATTACATTTGCATGAAAAATAAATTTTCATTTTTTTCATTATTTAGGCAATAAATTGCCCTCTGTTTTGTAACTATTTTGTTACTTTATATTATATAAAGACGGTACTACAAATATTTTTTCACTCAAACAATTAAATTTTTATTTTTTATTAAAATGTCTCTTTTCCAAATCCTTCCTATTGTAGTGTAAACTAATGTTTTATAATCTTTTGAAAACAACACACTTTCGAAAAGCACAAACAAATTCAAACAGAGATTGTATGTATATAAGAGTATATTAAAAAACAAAAAGATAAAAGCCGAGAGTTTTAAGGCCATTCGTTTCCAAACAAGAAAAATAAAAACAGAGAAAACGAAGCTAATCAGAAGTTACAGTGTGTCATCTCTACAGACAAACACTAATCATCTGCATATGCTTCTAAAACATTTTTATGCACACTGTTTATGACTTTAACCCCACTCCCATATCATTATTTTATCAGTTTGGATCTCCCCTCAAATTTACTGCTATATCTAGGGTTTTTGCATCTCCAATGAAATCCCACCTGTACATAGCAATATCTAGATAGGAACCCATAATACATCATTGGATACGAGACACTGGCCCTAGCAGTGTGAGAGGGAAGCAAGAAATGTACAGAGATCGCGGGGGGTCGTCGAAGTCGGAGATCGCCGGTGGAGCGTTGGATCGGAAGCGAATCAACGATGCGTTAGATAAGCACTTGGAGAAGTTATCCCCCTCCACATCAAAGTCATCGAAGGAGAAGGCGGCCACCTCCGTCGCCGCCGGAGTTGGTGGGAAATTGCAGCATATTGACCATCGTGACAGTCGCTCATCCTCTGCTTTTACAGCGAAAAACAAGTGCTCTGGTAAGGTTATCCTCTTTAAAATTTCGACCTTGGACACTTTTTACTAGTTCGCTGTAATTACATTTTTACAAGTGCTGGTATACCTCTTCTAGTTAGCTATATGATCTGCAAGTTGCTGCATTATGCTTACTGAACTCTTACAAACGTGTTATCCTTTTTAAGTACTTGCCACGAACCACCCGAGATGATGCGAAGAAAATTAGATGTTTTTTTTTGTATTCAAGTTTCAAACAGAGAATTATTCTCCTTGTCTGCTCTAATGCTAGAACTAAGAAGTCTAAAAAGTTGTCTCGTTGGTTACAGTAGACTTCTTGAATAGCATTCCATGTGTATATTGACCCACTCAATTCACTAAACAAAGCACTAAAGTGTGAATAAGTCATAGTGAGAGGAGTCATGGCTTCATGGGGATATTACTCAAGCACATTAATATGTAAGTAACTGGTGTTTTTTTACTCGAAGACTCAAAGCGACCAAAAAGCTCAAAAAAACATAAATGCAGTGACTCAAGACTCAAGAGCGTCTAATAGCCGTTGCTCCATGCCTCCATTTTAGAACAAATGCCCTTATTTTTAGCACAGGGGTAAGACTGCGTACATACGACCCCCCTTACCCCACCTTAGGTGGGAGCCTTTGCGGCACCGGGGTAAATGAAAATGAAAATGAAATGAAATGCCCTTATTTTTATCACAAATGTGGACCCTGAGCCTCATGGTTATGTCACCTGCATGGGTGGAAGTTTGACATTGCTGATGCGAATGGGATGTTGTTGTGTTGTACATATTCCTTCTCACGAGCCATCTAACATCTGGTTATGTACATGCTACCCATGTAGGTGGTGCCCACACCGGATTTGAGACCATTATATAGCACACTCTCTCTCACACACAGTGAGAGAGAGGGTGTGATCTAACTATCCTAAACCCTGTGGGGTAACTACCAACATGGGTAGCATCAAATCAACCCTCAAATACTCCCAAATGCTCTCCTCAAAGTGAATTTGAACGTTCATTGTCTGGGTAATGCTTAATGGACATGAAAATTTCAAGAAAGCAACTCTGGTGGCATTGCCCCATGATCTAGTCTTCTTGATTCCTTATAATTTCCTTGAATTTTTCCAGTAAAGGAAAACTATATACCCCCACCAGAAACACTTAAGTGTGAGCTTATATGAATGATATATTTTTGACATGTAAATGCTTACTGTACTTGTAAATTTCTTGCAATCATACCTATTATCTTATACTCCCTCCGTTCCTAAAAATTCTTCCCGGTTTGACTTGGCACGCTTATTAAGAAAGTGGAATAAAGTGGAAATGTATGGTTGTGGTTGTGTAAGAAAAAGGTAAAATGAATGTGAGCCACACAAATTGTCCAAAATGGGAAAGTGGGAAGTATTTTTGGGAACAGCCCAAAAAGGAAAGTGGGAAGTATTTTTGGGAACGGAGGGAGTACTTTCTCAGGCTTATTTTCTTTAGAGAGTAATAAAATGTTGTGTATTTGTCATTGACATTCAGTGTGTGCTATAACAACCTGCAATTGTTTTTATATCATGCAGAGGAATCAGAAACAGACAGTGAAGATTCTGATGTTAGTGGTTCTGATGGGGATGACACATCATGGATTTCCTGGTTCTGCAACCTCAGAGGAAATGAGTTTTTCTGTGAAGTTGATGATGAATATATTCAAGATGATTTCAACCTTTGTGGATTGAGCAGCCAAGTTCCATACTATGATTATGCGCTTGACCTTATTCTCGATGTTGAATCTTCTCATGGTCAGTATTTTAGTTTATTTAGATTTTATATAGTTCAAAGATCCCATTTTGAGAAGTCAAGGTTTTTAGTACTGCTTTACTGTTGATGACACTCTTATACTAGACATGTATTAGCAATGTAATTATTTAGGTCGGACTGGTCGGTGATATAATAGTGCGCTATAGAAGCGTAGTGTAGTGGGAGCTAGGCACTATCAGATTGCGTACAGAAAAGCAGTTGTATCTAGCGTCTATAGTGGGTACAATGACGGTTGTAGTGGGTACTATAGTGCTGCTATAACTTACATGGTTTCGTCTGGGCTAGCGTTAAGGGGATTTGATGGTAACTTTTGCTTTTAGAAGTTTTTAAGGGGTGAGATAGGTTTCAAGAGTAAAAAGTAACCCTATTAAACCCTCCTAAACACAAAAAATTACCCTACTAACTCCTAATAAACGTAGCTCAAAGCATAAAACCCATACCAAGTATATCATCCACTGTAAAAGCCGAGGCTCTGCATCAGAGGAGCTCAATTTATTCCAACAACCTTGATTTATAGAATAACGAGATATTGATAGCTTCTAGTTTAATAAGAACAGTCCAGGAGTATATGTTCTAGTTTTAATCTTCAGACATAAATAATATTAATTACTCATTTGTTTTGTTCAAGACATCAATGACTTATTAATAGTAATTATGAATGTTGTGAGTTCTAAGACTGAGTAATGTAATTATCATTTTTTGGATTTGATAAATGTGAGGCATGAATTACATATTTATATTTATACATTTAATTATGTATTCTGCATATAAAATGGCTGAATAGCAGTAATCCCACTATCCGCTATAGCCTTTCAGACTTGGCTGCTACGCTTCACTATCTGGGTTTGAAAATGACTGATTTTTTCATATTCATGTGAATGTCGTCACTATATACAGTATACTACACAGCAAGAATGATATGTAGTTCATAACCGAAGTGGGTAGTCCAGTTGGCACTAAAGTGACACTTAGGAGTCTTCTTTAGTAGCCTTGCCACCCAATTCAACTTCCACCAAGGTTTCTCAGAGTCCCTTTGGGGTAATTTCCTGGGCAGTGAAGATGTAGGTTCTGGTTAATGAAAAAAGGATATGAAGCTCAAGGTGAGCCTAGCCTGCAAGTGTGTGGCCTAATGGAATAAATTTATGATACGTAGTATATGATATATCGCATTTGAGGGTTTGGTGATTGTCAACAAAATATATAATTATATACTACTCTATGATGTATCTTCTGCACCATCCGTCCTGGAAAAGTCCCAAATTTCAAAACTTGTTGGTCCCAAAAGTACCATTCTCAAAATGTGGCTAGTCAATCCTGTAATTTGCCAAAAAAAGGTTATGCAAGTTTAATGTAATCACTTAATTAAATAAAAATTGAATTTTATTTTATTAATATTAGTAGGATTCCATGTCTTTTAAGAGTTGTACATTGCCAAAATTTAAAAATTGCACTTTGGCTATTACAAGACTCTTATTTGGGGACAAAGGGAGGATATAAATTGGAGGCATCTACATGTTAAGTACACTACAAACTGCCTGTGTGTTGTGTTATAATACAATATTTGTAGCTTTGAGGGTTTGATCTGATGCATCAAATCAATTTTTAGGCAATGTATAGAACTATAGAGGACTGACATAAGTTTTAATGATCAATTTAGTCAGAGTTATGTATAACTTCATTTGGGTCCTATAATTACTAGGAAAAGTAACACCTTCAGTTTCCTCAATCATTTCATATTCACATTAAAGGTCTTAAAGGCTTTATACTCTCTTTGTTATGGATGTGTAGGTGATCTGTTCACTGAAGAGCAGAATGAACTTGTGGAATCAGCAGCAGAGATGTTATATGGACTCATTCATGTACGATACATATTGACTAGCAAGGGAATGGCTGCAATGGTAATTTTCTGTAAAAGAACATCTATTTGTACTTTCCATTATGATATTGTTTTAATTGTTGAGTGAGACTTTTCATGTTTTTTTGCTGTAACTTTTCAGTTAGAGAAGTACAAAAACTTTGACTTTGGGAGATGCCCACGAGTTTACTGCTGTGGACAGCCTTGCCTCCCTGTTGGTCAGTCAGACATTCCACGATCAAGCACTGTCAAAATATATTGCCCCAAATGTGAAGACATTTACTATCCCAGATCCAAGTACCAAGGCAGTATCCTTGGCTTTTAAATGCCCTTTTTAATATTTCCTCCATCACAAAAAATGTCATGTTTTATCAAGGTACATGCTTTTAATGTTGGCAAGGTACAACACGTAGAAGTAATTTAAACCTACTTGTTTTTTTATTTTATTTGTTGGCTTGGATAAATTCTTTCTGATTTCTTATCTTGTTAGCTTTCTTGTATTTTATCTTTCTTATCTTTTTAGCTCTGATTTCATGTGTTGTTTCATGTTAGCTGACCCAAACTTTTTTGGGACTAATGTTGTTGGCTTAGCTAAATTATCATAGTTAACTTGTTTTCTTTTTTGTCAATTTATTTACCTAAAACATTAGTTTCTTTTGATAATTTTTTTGTAGGGGTGTTCTTTGAACAAGACCTTTTCAGAATCACGTTTTCTAGTGAAAGATTTACCTGAAAGTAAATTGATGTTAGCTTCTTTTATTAAAACATGACTTCTTTTTAAAACACGAGTGCTTTTCACTTTTTCTATTACACAAAAAGCACTTATTCTTTTTCAGAAGCACTTTTTTCTCAAACACTACCATTTTTTACTATTAATCACTCTCTCCAAAATCACTTAAAACATCACTTTTTTGAAGTAGAAGCAATCACAAGCACTCCCTTAGCCTTTATCCACTTTTATTTCCATTCATTTGTTTGCCATAACATTGTAGTATGGCTCACATCTTTCCATTTTTATTTGGGGTTCTCTATTGAACTACCATTGTTATACAATTTTGTGATTCCACTGGGTTTTTCCTTCACTGTCTAAGATATTGATGGAGCTTATTTTGGAACAACATTTCCTCACCTCTTTTTGATGACTTATGGTCACCTCAAGCCTCAGAAGCCAACACAGAACTATGTCCCAAGGGTATTTGGGTTCAAACTGCACAAGGCTTGATGATAAAATGTATGAGATTTGTATTGCGGGGGTAGAGATATCATTTTTCTGCCAAAAGGGATGTTTATATTTACTTACCTGGCTTCCTTGATGTAGACGTTATCAGCCAGGCAAGGCAAAAGCCGTCCTTAATACCAAAAAAATTGTTTTATTGATAAAAAAGTTATCAATACTCGGTCTCCCGAGCAAAATTTGTGCCTTAATTTTTTTATATCCTGAATTGCGTATGTGTATTACCCATTGAGAAATATTTGTAGTGATTTGCCTTTGTATATATTGGATGAGTCTTCATACATTCCAGTATTCCACCCCTTAATTTAAGTCCCTCTTAATGTATACCTCTTGACATGGCATAATGGTATTATTATGCTAAATGTGTGTGTATTTTGGACTCTTGAACTCGTTGTGAGGTCACCACAATACACATGCAAATATGAATTACTTCTCATGCCATGTTCTGAGGTAAAGTATCAAGAGGTGAATCAAGGAGGCAAAAACAGGATTAGTTATATTTGCTCTTTGGATTTTATGATTCATCCCTTCCGATTGCTTGAGCATTATGTGCACCTGCCTCTCATTGGGGGTTACTTTCTGTTTTTTTATTTGTTCACTATTTCTGGAAATTCTTCATTACATGAGGTAGATGGATGTATCACTTCTTGAAATAGAATTCTTGGGAACAAAATGAATAAGCTGATGAATTTCTGGGAATTTGTTACAAAATGAGACATCCTAATAAATCATGAGTTGTTTTTTGTTATTCATGGAAAATACATAGATTAGAGGTTCATTTGTGTTGATTTGGTTGTAGACAGGTGGTTTAAGTCTCAACGTATAAATATTTTTGTATTGTTAATGCATAATTTCTTATTCAGTCAATTGTGTAACTAAACGGGTTGTAACGTGTAACTCGTAAGTCACGCAAAGTATAATTTGAACTAGGCATGGACTCGGTCCCAATTTGGGTTGGTCTTTGCCTAGAAGTTGCAGACCTGGGACTAGCTAGCTATAATGGGGTCCCAATTTGGGTTGGTTAGGCCGGTTGATTCCGGTCCTGACTCGGTTTCAGACGTTTTTCTTAAATTGCCAAGTAATTTGAAATAAATCATTGTTCTAAAAAGTGGCCTAGTAGGTCAAAAAAATTGATCTAGTCAACGCCTAGGCGTGAGTCATTTGTGTACCACTCGATTAGCGCCTAATGTGTTCTAGAACATAGATATAAATAGGCATGGACCGGTTTCGGTTCGGGCCCGATTTGGGCCTGGGCCCGGTCGGGCCTCGGTTCAAGAAGGAGAGGCCCGGAACCGGCCCGGGTAACCCTCAGGTCTGGGCCGGGCCGGTTCACCTTTTGAAGGGCTCGAGCCCGAACCGCCATCCCACCGGGCCCGGAACCGGTTCACCGGGCCGGGTCGGGCCCGCACAGTAGCGGGTCGGTCCGGTTCCGGGCCGGTTGGCCCGGTCCGAGTCCACCCCTAGATATAAACAAAGGACTATCTACACTTTTTTTTACTCCAAGGGGTCTGGGGGAGGGGTACTAGGGGGGTCTGGAGTGATCAGGGCTGAAACTCACTCCATTGAGTTTCAAAAAACCCTTGTGTGCCTAGCGGGTTTCGAATTCGAGACTTCCCACTAGGCATGGTAACTTCACAAAGGACTATCTATACATTACATGTGTAATGCATAAATAATTGCTAATTGAAAAACAATTAAAGGCAACTTTCGAACTATCATAAATTTCAAAATATTGAACTAATATAAATATTGCAATGATGGGCATTGAACTAGAATAAATTTCATAAATTTGATTAATTAATACACAAACACAACACTAGGACTACGCCTTGGCTCATTAGATAGGAACTCAAAGATAAATAGGGAAACAAAAAAGATATCATTGTAGCAAATGCCATTTACTTGCATAAAAAATATTCACGACACTGATTCATTATTGGCGTGGATGAGTGCAGAATACTTCATATGGAAATGTCTTCGTAGCATACTATAGTTTTTGCTTTCGTGTTTTTCCAAATACAAGATCTTTAGGCAATGAACATATTGTGCATAAAACAAGTTGCTCGACATGTTCTTATAGCCAGCGTAATGAGTTAATATAAATGTACATATGAAGAATGGAAGAACAGAGAGAATACTAGGAGTCGAAAGAATGAGAGATTGCAAAATGGAGATGTATGATATTTTTTAAATGAGTGCAGTTTATAGAATGTTTTTTCGATTTTCCCTAACATGAAACCCCCTATCCCCCTAAATCCTCCAAACCCCTGAACCACCAAGCCCTAACTAGCCGTTTTTAGTTGTTAGAGCTCCTCCAACAGTCAAAACGAGCCCTTCAACGACCAAATGGGATAAACTCCCCCCAAAAATCGACCATTGTTATCAAATTTGTGATTTCTTTTTTTCTCTTTGTGAATGTGTTTGCACTGTGACAATAATTATCTATACCTTTTTTAATTATACTTGTCAAGTATAAACATTTAAAACGCCTTTTTGTATAGGGAGATACATATACAAAAAGTATCATAGAAATAAAGCTTCTACTAAATTAATACTTTTAATGAAATATAACAGATTATCTAGATATGGATCATGATTATGTTAACCATATATGGAATCAAATAGTGGACAATATATTTGCATGCAAGTATATTCTCAAACAATAAGAATCTAGAAGTTTTGTTTCCTAATACATCTTAGAGAATAATTGAAATAATACTCCCCCGATTCTAAATAAACTTCACACTTTGACTTCACACAAATTAAGGAAATAAATTTGACTTTACTATAAAGTACACTGTTGTGACACTGTTTGACACTGTTTTGCACTGTTTTGATGTAGATAATTTGCCAAATAAGGAAGAGAGAAGAAATGTGAAGTTTATTTTAGATCTACCCAAAAAGGAAAGTGTGAAGTTTATTTAGGACCGAAGGATGTAATTAAATATTATGAAGTTCATATTATAATAATATGACATGCTTATGTGGCAAGTTGTGTCTTCTATACTTTATATATGTATCATATATGTATTGATTCTTCGTAAAATTATGCAGTAAATATTTCTTACTGGATGTGCATGTATTTGGGTAAGGAAAAATAAAAAAATCGATTTATGTGTGCATTTTCCATATTAAAATTTCTTGGAGTTGAACAATCTAATCCAAACACCTTTAACGAAAAAGAACAAAATTTCCCTAACCATATTTCCTGCCTTTCGCATCTATCGTTGTATGGGTGAAGCGGTGCTGATTGTTGCCATAATAAAAAGAAACCACTTTTGCCAATACCATTTCCATTAAAAAGCCCTAAGTTTTTACAGAATAACTGTTCTTCGCTCCAGGTAACTTCAAGAACTGGAAAGCTCTCAAAATTTTCAGATTTCAACGTAATTGTCGTAGTCTTCTTGATGCTTGTTCAAATAAGTCTTTCCGATCATTAAAACTTAATTTCGCGGTTCAATATTTTCTTTTTGTTTGTGATGGTCCGTTGATTCTTGTGCAGAGAAAAACTGCTGTTGTCGACGGTTGGATATATGTCCCAAAATCAATCAAGGACCGGAAATCGCGATTCTCACCAGCACAGGAAGCCCGGGAGACCCGGCAGCTTTAACCAGAATCGCGATAGTAAAGGAGGCGGTGGAAGCGGTGGCTTTGCCCCTGCTTCAAGTCCATCATCGCCATTCAACAAGAAGCATACCAATGCAGAAGGAGGATATCAGGCAAAAAGTGATCCAAGCGTGACCTCATCTCGGGCAGTGCAGGATGTTTCGCGTCAAGAACAGTCATCAAGTGGTATTTAATGCTAATTTCTTTTTTGTTGTTGTTAAAGGCAGAGTATATGGTAATATGGTAATGAAGTGTTTGGAGTTAATTAATGAAAAAATATGTCACTTGATCATTCCGCAATGGAGGAACAACTAAAAGGCGCACCTACATGTCTACAGTGAAGAAGTTATCATTGTAGTTTAATGAATCTATATTAGCATAATCTAAAACTGGTGTTAAGCTTGGACTTTGGAGGTCCTTTTAATGGCTGATGTGTACAAATTGACCTCAATAATTGGTCCTCCATGTGAAAAGGTGCATATTCCAAAAGCAAATATAATTAAGTTATTAACCTTACCCAATTTTTTTTTTTTGCTCTGGTTAAATATAGCCCCTAAGAGATACGGAGTACATAGTATTTAGCATCTAACTTTATTATAATTATATGCATGGTCATTTAAGCATCTGCTAGAGTCTCCATTATTGCTTATGTGGTTAGCTGACTAAAGCAACCCAATTGCCAATGTTGTAATCATTAATTAATAACACGGTAGCAAAATATGTCTGGAATTTACTGCAGTTTTTTATTTTAGCATTACTATATTTGTTGGGAATAAGGCTGTGATGTAGTTGTTTTTGTTTGTTGATTGTGGAAACATGACTTACTGTTTAGGGAGTGGCATGAAACTACTACATCTGTCCTGAAGATAGAGTTCTGTTTGACCAAAAGTTTTTTTATTTTTATTTATGTAAAGAAAAGCTAATTGAGACATCATTTCTAGCTATCGTTTTAATTTAGCTTCAACTAAAAATTACATATTTAATCTAGCTACCGCTTTTCTTGGGAAAAAAATAACGTTTAATGGAAATACGGAGTATGTTTTATTTGTTCAATTGGACTCTTTTTTGTGGCTATTCAAATAAGTTTTTATTTGGACCGAGGGAGTATCTTTTAGTTTTAGTTGATTCTTTTATGCCATCAAGCATCTCTGTGCTAACCTGCACTTATTGCAGGACTCTCAGATGCACATATTACTGCTCTGAGTCTTCCTTCTTCAAGTACATCTCTTAGTAACCCTGATGCACTAAAGCAGAAAGAGAACCGAGGTGTACCAAGACCTCCATCTTCCAATTTCCCTGCTGGTCCAGATTATAATGTCCCTGCTACTCCTGTAAAAGGTTTGCTTTTGATGGATAACATTAGGCTAAGCTCTTTTACAATATTTTATTAGATTTAAGTTCGCTTCATGATCTGACATCCAGTTGAACCTCAATTTTATGTGATTGTTTAGCTCCAGCGGATGGTTTTGGGCCAGTCCCTCTACAGTTTGGTTCAATTAGTCCTAGTTTCATGAATGAGATGCAGGTAAGCTCTACTGTCTTAAGCTATGTTTGGAACTAGGTAATAGCTGCAAAAGGAAGACAAATTGCAAAGGAAAATGAAGGAAGATCATGCCCTCTCTATTCACTTTTACTTGCTCCACTTTTCTTTAATGAAACTTTTTTATTTTTATTTTCTCCGCTTTCCATTGTTGTTACCCGATGTTAGCCATTAATGAAAATCTTTTGGGAATGAGGCTTGGATGTTGTTGCTCAGCTTTCCATTGTTGACAACTTTTCCTACTTTTTCATCTCAGAAAGACATCATTACCCTTGCCTTTTCATCTTCTCTTTCCATATTTTCTTATCTTTTTATCTTCTCTTCCATTTTCACATTTTTATACAATTCACGACCCGGAGTGAGTAAAAGTAAACCGGAGGAGTATCTTACTATAACTTATCAACTTCTTACACACGAACCCTACAACTCCACTCGTGAAAAACCTACTGGAGTGAGTAAAAGTGAACTGGAGGTGTATCCTACTTGAACTTTTTGACTTTTTACAAATATGTACATTTATTAGTCCTTACATAAGAATAAATTATAAGAAAAAGAGTTCGGAAATATATGTAAAAATGATCTCTTGAGTTATGAGCTGGTGATCTATTTTCCTCATTTTTTCCCTTATATTTCCCCCCTCTATATTCCTCCATATGCTATTCCCTTAGAATTTTACACCCTAAAGAACTAAAGACATGTTTACACCATGTGTATTCATAGGTTCCTGCTCGAACAAGCTCAGCACCACCAAACATGGATGAGCAGAATGGTAGCAAGGTCAGCACTTCTCCCATTGTCTGGTTGTGACTAAAATATCAACGAGCCCCCTGCTATTCTGCAATCTGCAATTGACACCCTTAATTGGTTTAAGCGGTTAATTGGAGCTTTTTCATGTTCAAGGTATTAATTGGCATTGCAGAATAGCAGGTGGGCTAATTTGACCCTTTTCTGAGCTTTCTGAGTGCCCGTACCTTATATCATGGTTAAACGGTAGATTGTTAGCTTGGCTCTCAGGTTTTCTGTTTTATTTCATTCCTCTCATTTTTTGAAGGCTTGCCTTGATTCTGTGAAAGCCATGCCTGGATTGCCAAATCCATCCACGTCCACGCTCCCACCAGGAAAGGGCACAGAGAAGTTTGAGCAATCTAGTAACATTTCAGGTTCGAGTTCAGTTCACTCCAGGTCCAAGAGGGATGTGCCTGTTTCCACTCCACCGTCACAAATGCAAAAACCATTTTCTCATCCTATGACTGGAAATCATGTGCAAGTTTCACTCTATCCGGCTCATCCTCAGATTCCTGTTGAATTTGGGGGCCGTGGTCAATTTCAACCAAAGACCTCATCTTTGCCAATTCAAATGACGGTTCCTCTATATGTAAATCCGTCTTTACAGCAGCCAATGTTTGTCGCGGGTCATCCATCCCATCATCCTATGTCATCTCAGGGAATCTGGCAAAATGGACAAGGTTTAAGCTTTTCATCTCCTGGAATAAATCCCCACGCGCCCTTCCCCCCACAGTTGGGAAATATGGGAATGACAACTATTCCTTCTCCGTTCCCTCAACAACATGCTGTAATGTATGGAAGTTTTCGTAAAACTATAAAGATAATCGACCCAAAAACTCATGAAGAGTTAAGGCTCGATGGATCACATCCTAGCATCCCAGTTGAATCACAACCGCTATCTTCATTCCCACCAACTTCACAACACTATTATCCTAATTCCTATAATAATAATAGTTCAGTATTTTTCCAAGCTCCAAACAGTTCCCGAGTTTCTCAGGCAACAAGGGTTCATAATCAGGTTAGTGGTTAACTCTTTAAATAGTTACTTATTCCAGAAAGCAATTGCCTGGAAAAGACAAAAATGAATTTTGCCGGTGTTATCAACTTCATGAATTTAAGTGCAGGTCACGATAAAACCGGGACCCGGCAAACTAGGGGAAAATGATCAGGTTTCAGTAAAACCTCCTCCTGACATACTAAGGGGGAGGGATCACTTAACTGTAAAGGATTCTCGCGAACATTCAAAGCCACTTGTGGTTGATTCAGTTCACCCACAGAAAGGTTTCCAAACACCTAGAGAGAATCTCATGCATGTACCAATGGGCACTGCTGAGGAATCGGTCCTTGATGACATCACAGAGCAGCAGAAGAGAGGAGAGAATATAGGATTTCTGACTGTGCAAGATCAGGTATTAAGTATTCTGTATTCTCTGGTGGCTCCAAGCAAACTTGATACTCCCTCTATCCCATTTTGGTTGTCCTATTTTCCTTTTTGGGTTGTCCCAAAATGAATGTCATGTTTCCTTTTTTGGCAAGGAATATGCGATTCTCATCATTTCACTTTATTCTTCTCATATCTCAAGTCTCAACCATAACTTTTACTTTTCAACCACTTTATTAATAATCATGTCAATTTAAAATAGGACAACCAGTACGGAACCGTTCAAGTACATAACAACAATGTAGCAACCGTTCAAGTAAATATAGGATTATGTTGAAATATTTTGTTAGCCAACTGGAGGGTTGCTTCAGTAATTAGTAAAACAACAAAAAGACATAATTTTAAAGATTTTTGTAGCCAAGAGTACATTTTAAATGAATTCAACAACATCGATCCGAGCCTTAGCCCCAAAAGATTTTGGGTCGGCTAATGATAGAGACCCTACAGTTTATGTATATTATTAAGTAGGGAAAACAGAGAAAACCTCTGAATTCCTGAAGCAAATACAATGGCAGTGACCGTAGCCTAGCGTACAAGAAAGAGAAGAAACCGAAACAGAAAATAAAAGCGAGACACTTTGAGTAGTCTCGCACTCCCATTTTCCAGTCCGATCTCGAAAGTCTGCCTGCCCCTTTTCCCCTTGCTTGCGCTTATTATAATACACTCCTAATGAGCCGGCACTCATCCACTAATTTACTGGGCCTAAAACCCTCTTATTGTACACTATTAAGCTACTTAATAAGAGAATTGTCCGGTCCCTATCACCTAATATGAATCGATACATGTTATATAAAATGGAAAAGAAAAAGAAAGATAAGATGAAAAGGGTAAAAACAATGGAGATAAGATAAAGTAGAGATAAGATAAGATAAAGTAGAGATAAAATATAAAAGATAAAAATATAAAATAGAGATAAAATATACATAAAAATGCTAAGATGAAAAGGGTAAAAGGAAAAGAAAGATAAAAAAGATAAAAAATATAAAATGGAGATAAGATAAAGTAGAGATAAAATATACATAAAAATGCTAAGATGAAAAGGGTAAAAACAATATATATATTTATATGTGTGTGTGTGTGTGTATATATATATAATGGAGATAAGATAAAATAGAGATAAAATATACATAAAAATTCTAAGATGAAAAGGGTAAAAAGAATACACATATACTACGTATAAAAATAAAAAGATCGAAGGATAAAAAACATAAGAAAGATAAAGAAGATAAATGGAAAAAAGAGGATAAGAGATCAATTCGCCAACAACAACAACATTACCCTAGTGCCGTAATACCCTAGTGCCGTAAAGGCTCCCACCCATGGTGGGGTAAGGGGGTCGGATATACGCAGCCTTACCCCTGTGTTAAAGCACAGAGAGACTGTTTCCGGATGACCCATGATGAATATCGCGTCGAAAATTGCATGAACTGACTGCTGCTTCATAACAAAGAAGCGAAGACAGTTTAGTGAGTCGTTTTGCTTTATTCCATCATATTACCAATTCAAAAAGTAGTGAATCTTTGGCTATATTGGTAATGATGGAAAGTATAAATACTACTGAAGAACTAAAAATCTAAAGATGCAAAAATACAAAAATGAATTAAAAAAAAGCATAAATGCTCTTCTAGTTCACCAACTCAAGCAATTATATTGTTAGGATTGGATTTTTTCATACAATTTTAGCACTTATCAAAGCTTCTTGCTGGTTGGAGATTTTTTTGTAGGCTGCAGAATCGTCCACTTCTGGTTTAGGTTTGCCTTCTTTTCCCCCACAAACCGAAACCGTAACTAAAAGGGATTATGCTGTTGATGATATCAATTCCAAAGGTAAGGATTTTCAAATAGAAAACTCTTCCAAACCTCTTGGTACAAAGAGGGAAGAGGACAACGAAGATGACAAAGAAGTAAAGTCGTGTACTGTTAGTATACAAGACAATAACAATTCTAAGACAGATCCAAAGTTCACTTCTTTAGCATCTTCTGAGTTAATTAATCAAATTGAGAAGGGCCGTCTACAGAGGTGTGCTAGTACCAGCATTAATAATTGCAGTTCAGTAGAAGTTACTCAGGAAAAGGTCAATGAACCTGCTACATGTTCCAGTGAGGCTGATAGTTTAGATGTGAATTCCAAAAGAGTCCCAGTTTCGGCAGGTTTATCTACTCAAGATCAGCATACGGGCACTAAAGAAATAGCTTTTCCCACAAGTGTCATTGTTGAGGAGAATTTTTTGGTAGACCACGATGCGCCAACAAGTGCTGCTGCTAGAAGAGTAAAGGAGAATAATGAATTGTACAAAAATGCGGATGGGGTAAACTTTGATGACAGTTCAAATCCCCCCTTTACTGCTGAGTTGGAACAAGACATTGCACTAATCAAGGAAGATACTCAGGTTAAAGCTGAGTCTAATGATTTGGAGGGTGCTGTTAATGTTTCTAGTCCAAACCTGGAAACTTCTAAAACTGAAATCCAGACTAGCCTAGAATTCACGAGTTGTGCTGAAGATGGCAAATTGAAAACCAAAAAGTATTCAAGAGATTTTTTACTTAAGTTTGCCAGCCAATGTACTGATCTACCTGAAGGTTTTGAGATCACAACTGATTCTGCAGAGGCATTGATGGCTTCTGATGTTAAAGGTTCTAATAAACCGTACCAAAATCATGGCAAGATGATTGATAATAGACGATCTGTGGGGTCTAGACCAGATTATCACGGTAGTGGAGTGGTACGTGAAGAGAAGTGGAGTAAACTACCTGGACCACTTATGTCTGGACGGGATACTCAAGGAGGGAATTTTGGGGGTCATATAAGCACTGCCCTTGCACAGTCACCACTTCCTTATGGTGGGGGTAATCTTGTAGGGCCCATTGGTGCTCATGGAGGTGGTATGCAAAGAGGCACTGTTGATGCTGACAGATGGCAACGAGGAACTGCTTTCCACAAGGGTTCAATGCATTTCCCTCATTCTCCATCACATGTGATGCATAAAGCTGAAAAGAAGTATGAAGTTGGTAAGGTTACAGATGAGGAGCAGGCAAAGCAAAGGCAATTGAAAGCAATTCTCAACAAGCTCACCCCCCAGAATTTTGAAAAGTTGTTCCAGCAAGTCAAAGACGTCAATATTGACAATGTGACAACACTTAGTGGTGTAATTTCACAAATTTTCGATAAAGCTTTGATGGAACCCACTTTCTGCGAGATGTATGCCAACTTCTGTTTCCGTCTTGCTGCCGAGCTTCCTGTTTTGAGCGAAAACGATGAAAAGGTCACTTTCAAGAGATTGCTTTTGAACAAGTGCCAGGAAGAATTTGAGAGAGGTAAGCGAGAGGAAGAAGAAGCTAATCTAATTGATGAAGTGGAAGGTGAGACAAAACTATCAGATGAGGAAAGAGAGGAGAAAAGATTAAAAGCACGAAGAAGAATGTTAGGCAACATTAGACTGATTGGAGAGCTTTACAAGAAGAAAATGTTGACAGAGAGGATAATGCACGAATGCATACAAATTTTGCTAGGTGAGAGTGAGAATCAGAACCCAGATGAGGAAAACATTGAAGCATTATGTAAACTAATGAGCACGATTGGTGTAGTGATAGATCATGCAAAAGCCAAGGTCTACATGGATTCTTATTTCTCTGGGATGGCAAATTTGTCAAACAACATGAAACTGTCTTCCCGGGTGAGGTTTATGTTGAAAGATGCGATTGATCTTCGGAAGAATAAGTGGCAGCAAAGGAGGAAAGTGGAAGGACCAAAAAAGATTGAAGAAGTGCACAGAGATGCTGCTCAAGAAAGGCTAATCCAAGCAAGTAGGACTTCTTTTGGCAGGAGAGGCCAACACATAGATTATTCACCTAGAGGTCCGAGCATGTTGCCTTCACCAAGCTCACAGATGGGCGGTATCAGACAAACATCTCGCTTGGACGATAGAAGTACTTCTGAAAATAGACCATTATCACTTCCGTTAACCCAGAGATCCCTTGGAGAACATATTACACTTGGGCCTCAAGGTGGTCTTACAAAGGGACTGTCTTTTAGGGGACATACGAATGTTTCAAGAGTACCTTCTGCTAATATCCAAAGTTCAGGAAGTTCCAATAAACTTACATCTGGTGTTAATGGCTTTAGTCGTATGCCTGAAGGAGTAACACATGGCTCAATGGAGGATGGCTCAGAGAGCTGCATTCTTGAAAAGCTTCCCACTTCTCCTACAGTCCGAGTGGGAGGGACCAGCTCTATGCAGAATGTCCTTCAGGACAAAGTGCTGCCAGAAGAACGCTTGCAAGAGCTATCAATATCTGCAATTAAAGAATTTTATAGGTACTCTTCTGTGATATGGTGCTGCTTAACATTTTATTCTGTAATTTTTTTTTCCCTATTTCTCATAGATTGACAATCAACATAAGGTCACTGAAGGAGACACTGAGTGTAGTTGAATATTTCATTATTATATAGGATCCTAGCTCTACTAATGGGGCTGAATATTTTCTCATGGAATGCTTCCTGGTCTTTGGCTATGTTACAAGAACTGGACCAAGAAACGACCCAGATGAATGGCTGGGTCTCGCGGGTCAAGCCAGTCAATATCAGGAAAACATGGTCAAAAGTTATAATTTACGTAGTATTATATTAATAAACATAATATATATATATATATATATATATATATATATATATATAATCAAAATAAAATGTAATTATTTTTCAAAATAATTAAATAATTATAATACTAGTAAGCATTGAAATCACAGTCATAATAATCTAAAATATAGTTTTAGTCCTATTCATAATAATAATATTATTTGATATTTGTCATATACTCTGTAGATATCTATAAAAATAACTTTGACATAATTATTTTTCTAGAATAAATACTGAAATATATCATATACTTTTTTCAAAAATTAAAATGAACTGAACTACACTTATTACAAAGTCTCAACTCTCCAGAACATCATATAAGTATATTTATATTTGAAATTTTATATAGACAACTGGATAGTACAATAGCAATAACATATATTCTAATAGAAACAATAATATATTTATACTTGTTATGTATTAATTAATACTTAAAGATAGTGATTTAATTTAACCTTATAGCACTGTATAGTATAAATGTATAATAATGCTTCAGAACATGTAGTACCCACTGGCGCAATTGGTGAGGCGGAGTGAAGCTTATTGCTTGGCATACATAATTTTTTTTTGAGTGAATTCTTCCGGTAATTTCCAGGTTCCCGGGTTTGGGTCGTTGCGGGTCCGTCCCTGGCTAAGACAGGCCACTGGGTAATTCCTGTTTTAGCTACATTAACAGGTTTATAGTTTATACACAAGTACACAACCAGACCGGGTTGATGCGGGTCACCAGGTTCCGGGTCGTGTTTGATAACATAGGTGTTTGGTAGTGACCTGATATTGTTTGAAGTTGCCCAAATGGTCGAATTGTCAGCCAAAAAATATGAAATATAGTTTATTACGATTTTTTTGAAAATAGTATTGAAAAATAAGTGTGCAAGTGTATTTTTCATGCATTTTGGCAACTTTAGCCAAGAAACCGGAAAGACCTGCACTATTTGGTTCTCATCATCAATCAATCCACCCCATAGAGAAACAATCACTGTTCAGTAGTAAAAAACAGCTGATATGGATTCTAAAAGCATAAACAGGATTTTACTTAACGTGACTCCTAATATTCACTAATGTACTGAAAGTCTGAAAGACCCTTATATTAAAATACAATTTAGTTATTTATGTAAAACTGTGCGTGCCACAATGTCCTAGTTGTATGCACAATTTGAGACGTCCAATAGGTTCAGCCCTTCAGTAAGTTCAGTTCATGCTTCATATGCTTAGTTAAGACGATGTAAATTCATCAAGTGCATAAAATGCCTCTATGTGTTTGTGTGTGAAAATGATGTACAAAGTAACCTAATTTGCTGTGTGCATTTTCATTTTCTGATGACAGTGTCAGAGATGAGAAGGAGATTGCTCTGTGTGTGAAAGATCTGAATGCACCTAGCTTCCACCCATCAATGATATCTATATGGATCAGTGATTCATTTGAGAGGAAGGACACAGAAAGGGGCCTTCTAGAGAAACTTCTTGTCAATTTAACGAAGTCTCAGGATGCTATTCTAAGTCCAGATCAGCTGATTCGGGGGTATGCTGCTGTTTTTCATGAGAAGCACTCCCTATCTTCAAAAGGAGTCATGTTTCAAAACATATTTATATACAAAATAGTCCTATTTCTACAAATGAAACAATTTTCATTGATTTCTTGTTATGCTCTAAAAAAAGGGAAATGCATTTTATCAAGTTTGAGTATGCTAATTTTTGTGAAATTTGGTTTATCCACTCCACATTTTACCCCCACATTCTAGTGCACATTTCATGTTTAATCTATACATTTTTTACTTCTGTATCCATCGGGGTGCAGAGTTAAGTATTAACCGAATTACGTAACCAAAGTGGCTAGTCCGCTTGGAATCACTATGTGCTCTCAAATTCTTGAATATTTTTCCACTCAACCTCAACTCCCACCGACGTTAGCTGAGGTCATTCGGGTCATTTTAAGTGCTGGCCTTCTCTTACAAAGTAGGAGGGTTGGCTCAAGGGTTGCCATTTGAGCAAATGAACGGACTCCACCCTAGCATGGTGGTTAGGCTCCACTGGAGTATACGAGAATTCTGGGTTATAAATAAAAAGATAGTTAAGCATCAAAGTTAATCACGAGGTTAGTCTAATAGAAATGACTTGTTTTGGGGTGCAAAGTCAAATATTCAGTTAATCAAAACATGTCATGCAAATACTGAAGTTCTCATTATAACAAAGTAAACAAACAAATGAACTTATAAATATAGTAGGATGGACAATTTACAAGAGTTGTAATCGCAAAAACTTAAAGTTGAATCATCATAATTTAAAGTTGATTCTTCATGCTTTGTTTTTCTTTTTTTGAGAAGAGAGTCAAGGCAGTTCAGACATATTCACTGTTTTACTGAATGTAACCTTCTATATTCTCCTGGACAGGTTTGAATGTGTTCTTTTGAACTTGGAGGATACAGTAAATGATGCTCCAAGAGCAGCAGAGTTTCTTGGCCGTATCTTCGCCAGAGTGGTTTGGGAAAATGTGGTACCATTGGAGGAGATTGGGAGGTTGTTACGTGAAGGTGCGGAGGAGAAAGGGCAACTCATTGAGACAGGGCTTGCAGCAGATGTTCTTGGAAGCACATTTGAGATGATTAAATCAGAGAAAGGTGATTCTTTGTTGAATGATTTGTGTAGAAGGTCTAATGTGCTGCCTAACAACTTCCGGCCTCCAGGTTCTAGCAAGAAATCCAAACTGGACAAATTTCTAATTCCATAGGCCTATATAGATATTTTATGTGGTTTGAGTCCTCGTCCTGATGCACTGTTAGCATGCTGATCTATACTTTAGGTGCGTAGGTATTTTTTGCTTTGTTTTTTCTTAATGTAAAAAGTCGTTTGCTGCACCATTATAAACCCACATAGATGACAGCAGTTTTTATATTCATTGTTTGCTGTGACAATGCTTATATGTTCATTATTAACGCCGCGTCCACGAGATATGGAAGATCTGACTTATGGTTAAATGCACGTTTATAACTACGTTAAGTAATGTAGAAATTTGAAGGGTGGTGGGACCGCCAGAGGGAGCAAACGGAACTTTGTGAATGTACATTAAGGTCCTTTTGGTAGCGTTAAATGGCTTGTTCAGCAACATTAGCGAATCACGAGTATTTGAGGTACTGATTTGGTTAAATTTGATTCTATCACTCAGACTTAGTTCACAGTTTCATACTACTGTCTAATATCTTGGAATTGGCCGAAGTGCATAAAAAAGTTATATGAGACTTCTGGCCTGGCTCAGCCATACCACCCAACAGTCCAACACCCACTCGGCATATGATTCAGTCAAGCTAGCTTGGCCAGTGGAGGCAGCAATCTTCATGCATGCATTCTATGGACATGGGCGTGGTTCTAAACGGATTTGGTCTTTTAGTTGTTTGGTTTAGTCCTTTTGACTGAACTGTAAAATGACTGGTCATATCACGGCTGGTTTTGGTCAAAAGTTCAAGACCTTGCTATGCTATACCCTCAACTTATGTATTTCGGTTATATTTTTTTTTTGTGACCGTTGAGGCCCGGACCGGGCCCGGCCGGGCCGGGCCGGTTCACCAAATTATAAGCTCGGGCCTGAACCGCTACATGACCGGGCCGGGTGGCCCGAACCGTGACCTAACCAACAAACCGGGCCGGTTCGGGCCCGCACAGTAGCGGGCCGGTCCGGTCCGGGCCGGTTGGCCCGGCCCGAGTCCACCACTATCTATGGGTCTAGAAAATAGGTGACCTGCCCAGCCGGTTCGAGCGCTTTTCTTTAACTTTTCACAATTAATAGGCTGCTAGGCGGGTGGGGCTGGGTGGTTTGGGAGGCTTGTGGAGTTGGGGAGGGAATAAATTTGAAAAGCCATTTTTTTAAAAAATAAAATTTGCCCGGTCTTGATATAAATCCGGGCTGGTACCTAGCGTGCAACCTGAAATCCCAGTACCGCTCAATCCCGGTCCGGAGCCTGGCCCCGGTCCACTCCTAGGTGCATCCCTAATCAAGACTCATAGAGAACATTATAAAATGTCATCACTTGATTTGATCAATAAAAGATAGGAACATAAACTTCAAATAATACGCAATACTAACCCTCACCCGTGGCCCGTGGGGCGATAATAATACGTATTGTAGAAACCACTTTCTAAACATAAATATGTTGTTTCGGGTTGTAGAAATCATTTTGAAGTTTACTAAGGCCAAGTAAGAAAAATTGGATTGCATAAACGCACAAAAAGCGAGTACATGATAGATTTATTCACTTTTCCATTTGCGAATGTCGTGCTTTATTTATTAGAACACGAGGTATTTTTGTGCATTTACACATCACACAAAATTTAGACATTACACAAAATTTTGAGCATTTTCCCCTCAAAAGAACAAAAGTACCTCCTAACCCACTTCAAAACATTCTTACGTTTATCGTTTGTTTTCTCCTTTTACCCTTCCTTTCCATTTCTCATCTATACACTAATATACACTTAAAAAATCATTGCATACATCAAACTCCTTGAAGGGGAACCTTGTTGTATCGGTTGAGGTGTTCCATTTTCAAATTTATTCGCGTCTTCTTTTGATCCCGTAGTCAATTCTAGAGCTCTTTTGTTATCAAAACTTCGTCTTTAACGTACACTTCATTGACCTCCAGTTCTCTTAATCAACTCTCGATTGTGGCTCAACTCTCTACATTGCTTCTTAAATAGTTTTCCTAGTTTAAATGTGTCACAAGGTTCATAATTAGCTCAAGCCATGATTTACTGGATTTTGGTGTATGTTTGTTATTTTTAGAGTCAAATTCAAGGAATTAAGCCCGACACCGGCGTTTGAGAAGCAATCGAGAGAGTTGAGTCACAATCGAGAGTTGATTAATTAGAGAATTAGAGGTCAATGAGGTGTTAAAAATGAAGTTTTGAAGACAAAAGAGTTATAGAATTGACAACATGATCAAAAGAAGATGAATATAGCTTGAAAACGACGATCAGGATGACGTTGTGTCAGAACGCAATGCGGGATGCTTTCGTGCACCAAGGGCTATTCTTATACATCAAATTTCTCATAAAGGCATAAGGAAAAATCTCCATATCTTTCCTCTCTTCATTACAATAAGGATTTGTTCAAAATTTAAAGTGCATAGTGAGAGGAGTACCAACTCGATTGGCTTTGTCCATGTTGATACAATATTAATTTTTGTGTATGTATCCTTCTTGAGATAACCATACCATCCTAATCTTCTTGATTGTCACAAGGACTACATTTCAAGTGATTCTTGCTCATTTATTGCTTTAACAAAGTGATTCTTGCCAACAATGAGCATATCATTAACATATAAAAAAGGCTTGGAAATCACGACACCAAACATTTGCATGAAACAACAATGATTAGAATATCTTCTCATAGTCGAGATGTCCCATGAAATGCTCATACTGTGTAACACCGTCCCCAAGTAATCGTGCTTTATCAAATTATGTATTGAACCATGAGAAACGAATAAAAACATTTTACGTGATTGTAAATTTTTATCATTTCTTTTACGTGAATAGTAAAATTCACGTGGGGCCCACACCGGAAGTTGGGCTGCCCGATATTATCGGGACCACATATTATATTCATCTGGGCCTAGATAATATTTTTATGATGGTGAATATCCTAATTGGGCCGTGCCAAGGGCATAGGGTTGACCGGTTGGTCAAACGAGGCCAAGTTATCAGTATCAGCAATTTATCAGATAACAGCCCGAAAAAAATTTCGGAGACTTCTAAATTTAAGTTGAGAAATGCATATTCATAATAAAGTCCAATAATGATGGAGAAGAGGTGCGATATTTTATTTAACCTGATAAAATAAAATATAATTAAAACAGTCCAACAAATACAACTTTCGAGACCCATTGTACACTGAGGGACACAAAGGGTTGATCTCCCACGTAAGTGGGGGCCAACCCACGTTTTTTACTCTGCAATTGGAGAGGGGAGCCGCACAACCACATGGAGAAGGAAGGAGGAATTGATTGGAAGACCAATCAATAGGAAAGTGGACCTCACCCTTGGTATTATTTTGGAGAAATGCCAAAAAGGCATTCCCAATCATCCCAACTCATACAGCTCGACCATACCACTTTCCAAGGAGAGATAATCTCTGCAAAAACTCCATTTTTATCATCCATACACGCACCAAGAACAAGGGAGGAAGAAGGAAGGGAAGAGAGAAGAGAAAAGAGGAGTTTAGGTGGAAAAACTTGTGGTTATCAAGGTAATGACTCCATTAATCTCACTTCTTGTTCTTCTATCATATTATATGATTATACAATCATATTTCACACCCTAGGTTTTTTCTACATGTTTGGGAGTGTAGAATAAGGGGTTGGAGGGTAGTTCCAAGTCCAAGAACGGACTTAGAAGCCAAAGTGACAGGTTCGCCGGAAAATAACCTTTTGGAGGTTATTCGTATTAATATGGGTTTTATGATGATAAAACCTTGTTAGTAACTTGTCTAAGGTATTCAAGGAACTTTCACGGAGTTGAAAGGGTCACCGGAAATATCGCCGGAGTTCATTGAAGTTCGCCGGAGTTTCACCGGAGCTCAATAAGGAAGGCTAGAACTTCATAAGCTTCATTTAAGGCGAGAAGACGAATTTATGCTTTATAACTTTTGCGTGAGGCATGAGATTACCTAAATTAATCAAAAATATATTTTATGGATTGATTAATGGTATTAAAGTATGTGTTATGTTATGTTAAGGAATATAACATAGTTGGAAAGCATGATTTATAGGTTTGATTGGTGAAATTTCTATAAATTGATATGTATGATGTTCCAAGGACCCAAACAGGTATTTTTGGATCAAGAACGTCAAATAGTACTTGCATGTAAAATTTCACGTTAATCGGACTCCGTTTGGGCGGTCAAACGAGCGTTGACCGCCAAGTCAACTGTTATACCCGACCGGGTATTGGCAAATACTCGACCGGGTATTTGCTGAAAAGTTGCCCCAGGGGCTACTGTCTTCTATACCCGATCGAGTATGGGTATGTACTCGATCGAGTATACACTAAAAATTGGCCTTACGGGCTACTGTCTCCTGTACTCGATCGAGTATAGGTGAGTACTCGATCGAGTATTGGGTTATGCTCAAAACGGGCAGTTTTGAGTAGGTTAACGTGGGCCGTTCAGGTGGGACCCGCCCACGTTTGTTCCTAAGGATTGTTATATGACTATAGGGCTAGACATTGTCCTTAGTTAAAGAAATTAAACGTTAGCCACATCCAGGTTAGGATTTGGTAGAACATAGACCGGGGACCGAGTACCCTTGGACGGTAAATGATCCAGAATACTCCAGGTGGGGCCGAGTACCATTGGACAGTAAATGATCCAGAATACTCCAGGTGGGGCCGAGTACCCTTAGACGGTAAGTGATCCAGAATACTCCAGGTGGGGTCGAGTACCCTTGGACGGTAAATGATCCAGAATACTCCAGGTGGGGTCGAGTACCCTTGGACGGTAAATGATCCTAAATACTCCAGGTTGGGTTGAGTGCCTTGGACGGTAAATGATCCTAAAACACTCGGTAGTATGAATCGAAGGTAGACTAAAGCTTGTGAGCTAGACATCCGGTAAAGGAGTGAGAAAAGTCAGGTAAGAACTTTATCTCTAAAAGACTCTTTAAATGAAATGACCTACGGGTGCAGTATTTTACAAATATATATACCGTATGTATCATCGGGTGGATGAGTCACACACACACACACATATCACCCTATTTTTGGGTCTCGTGTCTGAAACATTAGTTATTCTTCATATAGCCTGCTTGTCACTAGTATTTCTATGGAGTACTGACCCCTCCGGGGGCCCTCACATTTTTCAGGTTAATGCTAGAGTCCTACTACCTGCACCTTTGCCTAGGGTGATTGATCAAGAAGGAAGACGTGGTTCGTGCTTCCATTCTTATTTTAAATTTATAAACTGCTCATGGATTTTCGAACAATGTTTTCC